GCGCGGCGGCCGACGGCGCCGGCGCGGCCGCCGCGGCGCCGGAAGCCGGGCGGCCGCGGCGGCCGCGCGCCGGGTCTGGTCGGGCCGGTGCGCTCGGCGGGGCGCGCGGGCGCGGCGCGCACCTCATGGACTCGACGATGATCTTCGTCTCCGGCGTCGTGCACGTCAGCGACTCGTCCAGCGCCTTCTCGACGGCGGCGACCTTCTGGGCGAAGTACGCCTTGAGGTCGAAGTCCTTCGCGAGCTCGGCCGGCGACGCGACGCTCGGCTCCGCGAGGACGCTCCGGACCACGGGCGACCGCGCGTGGCGGAACGCGGGCGCGGGGCCCACGAGGGACGTCGCGACGCCGAAGAGCGACGCGAAGAGGCACGCGCGCACGGGTAAGTACCGAGCCATCGTCGAGCTGCACTCGTGATCTCGCTTCAAGGCCACGCAGTGATCAAGCGAAAGCTTCGGTACGAAGTCGGGCTCAATTCTTCGGCTAGGATGAGCAAGTACACTAAAGCCGGCAGTGCCGGCTCCGCGCGGCGTCGGCCTGATCATTCCCCAGTCTGGGGCTGCCCGATGTCGACCTACGACTCGTTGAACGAGCTGACGGGCGATGCCAACCCGCTCGAGGAGAAGCCGTCGACCTTCGTCGACATGCTGAACTTCGGGTTCTGCGGCTTCCAGAGCCCGGACGACGCCGGCGCGCCGAGCCTGCCCTTCGACCTCGGCGTGGGCTTCTGCGCGCGCGACGACGACGACGACGACGCGCTCTTCGCCGGCGCCTGGGAGTCGTCGACGCGCCTGCCCGGCCTGCCGCCCCGGGCGGAGGTGCGCGCCGAGCGGCCCGGCGGCGGCCACGACGACGCGAGCGAGGACCCGCGCGGGTCCTCGCCCGCGGACTTCGAGGGCGTCGCGCCGCACAGCCCGCGCGCCGAGCGGGGCGTCGAGATCCCGCTGGACCAGCAGCTCAAGGCCGCCGACGACGCGCGGAGCGCCTTCAAGGGCCGGAACAAGTACATGGCCGCCTGCGCCGCGCTGCTTCCCTTGCAGGACAAGCTCGACGAGGGCCGCTTCAAGACGGCCGTCGACGCGGGCGCGCACCACCTCGGGCCCAACTTCCTCTGCGACTTCCGGGACCCCAAGGGCCGCACGATCCTCTGGCACGCGGTGAACCTCAACGACGACCTGGCCATCGCGCAGCTCCTCTACAAGGGCGCGGGCGCGTCGCTGAACCGGCGCCGCGGCCCGGCCAAGTACGACTGTGCGTCCCGCGGCGTCGTCGTTCGCCCGACCGCGGCGCGACCCGCGCGGCCCCCGTCGCAGGCATCACGCTCGCCGTCCAGCGCCAGCGGCCGCTCCTCGCGGACACGCTCCTGACGAACGCGTCGATGCTGCAGCAGCGGAAGAACGGCAAGTACCTCCTGCCGACGCTCTCGGACCTCGGCTCCGCGGACACGCGCGCCGAGAGCCACCGCTACTCGTCGAACTACGAGGACTTCAAGCGCGTCGACAACCTCAAGCAGCGCAAGTCCATGGTCGACGACGTGTCCTACCTGTGCTGCGAGTGCGGGGACCGCGACGAACACGACGACGGGCACCAGTTCCACCGGGACTCGCTCGTCGACGACGAGGTCGCGCCGCCGTCGTCGCACTAACAGTACGAGCGAGGTATTCACACGACGACGTCGCGGACGGGGTGGGGCACGCGGCGGAAGCGCCGCGTCGGCCCCCGGCCGTTCGCGAGCTCCGCGCGCCGCAGCGACAGCAGGCACGGCTCGCAGACGTCGCCGGCGCCGTCGGCGGCCTCGTAGCGCGCGCCGACGATGGGGGACACGTCGCAGGCCGTGCACCGCCGGCCGTCGTGGACGACGCCGTCCTCGTCGAAGATCTTCGCGCGGACCTTGCGCCCGGCGGCCAGGTCATCGAAGACGCGCGGCGACGCGATGACGAGGCCCGACGAGCTCACGTTGAGGAACGATTTGCCGGCGGCGCCGTCCTCGGGCGACGGCTCGCAGCGCGACCGCTTCCGCGACGCCGCGGGGCTCCGGTAGCCGCCGCTCCGCCCCGTGCGGAACGAGACGCGCTCATCGCCCGCGAGCCGCGCGAGCGCGCGGAAGAGCTCGCCCTCGGTGCCGATGCGCTCCTCGCCGTCGGCGCCGGCGACGAAGAGCTCGCGGCCCTCGACGCCCAGGGACCCGAAGCGCCGCAGGACGTCGTCCATGGCGCACTCGGCGCCGTCGACGACGACGGTGCAGCTCGCGCCGAGCCGCGCGGCGAGGCCGTCGATCTCCTCGCTGACGATCCAGTCGTCGACGGCGCGCTTGACGACCGCTTTCACGACGCGCGTCGAGAACTCGCGCACGTGCACGGCGCCGCCCGGCGCGACGGCGAACGTCGTCGGGTTCGTCGAGACCTCCGTTGTGGCATCCTCGTCGTGCACGCATGACACGGCGCCCAGCTCGCAGCCGCAGGCCATCTTTCGCGGCGACTCTGGCGATGCAAACGTCTTTCGCGGCTCGGTCGTCTTCGCGACGTCGGTATCGCTGGACTCGGGCGATGCAAACGTCTTCGCGAGCTCGGCGCCGCTCGGCGACGACGCGTTTGCCGTCGATGAGGCGCTTGCAAACGTCTTCGCGAGCTCGGCGCCGCTCGGCGACGACGCGTTTGCCGTCGACGAGGCGCTTGACATCGCGAACGTTGCGCTCGACATCGCAAACGTTGCGTCGGGCAAGGCAACGTTTCCCTGCAATGTTGCAGTCGATCGAGCCCGATTTATCCGCCGTCCTACATGCCGCCGCCGCCCGGCTGCATCTCGGAGAGCTCCTTGAGCATGGGGTCGTCGAAGAACTTGGCGATGGAGACGTCCTCGGAGAGGCCCTTGCGGCGGCGGGTCTTGACCATGAACTCGCGCGCGAGGTGCGGCGGCGGGCTCGGCTCGAGCGGGTGGAGGATGATGGAGCGGTCGAGGGGGTCGCCCGGGCAGACGGCCCAGTGGTCGAAGACCTGGGAGCACATGGCCTGGCCCTGCGTGAAGGCCCGGAGGTCCGTCTCGAAGCCGAAGGAGTCGACGGCGGGGATGTAGGCCTTGACCGTGTAGAACGGCGCGCCCGGCTTCGGCGCGTCCTGGACGATGTGGCCCCGGCGCCGCGCGAGCACGGGGTAGACGGCGGCGACGCAGTCCGCCGGGCACTGGACGTCGACGGCGAAGATGGGCTCCATGAGCCGCGGGCACGCCATCAAGAACGCGCTGTAGCAGACGCGGCGCGCGGTCGGGATGACCTGGCCGCCGCCGCGGTGGAGCGCGACGTCGGAGATCGACGCGTCGAGGATCTTGAACTTGACGTTGCGGATGGGCTCGTCGCAGAGCGGGCCCTCGCGGCAGCCCCACTGGAAGCCCTGGACGACGGACTCCTTGGCCGCGTTGAGGAGGCGCTTGTCGACCTCGGACGGCAGCGTGTCGTCCAAGAGCACGTTACTGCAGCCGCCCCCGAAGGACGACGACCCGAGCGCATCCGGCCCGAAGGCCCAGATGGACCGCGCGGCGAGCAAATCCCAGTCGTAGGTCTTCTGGAAGTACTGGCCGACCTGCTTCTTCGACCACCGGTGGTCGACGTCGCCGCGCTCCGCGGCGTCCGCGACGCCCGCGTCCAACGGCTCGGCGATCATCGTGAGCTTGTTGCGCTTGTTCGGCGTCTCCGAGAAGCACTTGAGCGACGACGTCTCGATGACGGTCTCGCAGAAGGCGACGACGGGGTCCGCGACTTTCACTTCCACCGCGCCGTACATCTCGCGGAGGTCGTGCATGACGCAGTCGAGGTAGAGCTCGCCCGTGCCCAGCACGACGTGCTCGCCGCTCTCCTCGACCTTGGTCTGCGCCAGCGGGTAGCTCTTGGAGATCTTCCGCAAACCCTCCGTCATCTTCGGCAGTTCGGACGGGTTCAGCGGCTCGACGGCGAGCTTCACGACCGCCAAATTGTCGAACTTCAGCGGCCGGAAGATGTGGACGGGGTCCGCGTCGGAGCCGCCCGCCGCGTCGACGATCGTCGCCGTCTTCGCGATGGACGCGTCGACGCCCTCCAACAGCACCAGATTCCCGGGCCCCGCGGACGGCACGTCCGTCGCGTGGCGCCCGTGGCAGACGCTCACGCCCGCCACGACGCAGGGCCGCGCGTCCTCCGGGTCGTCGGGCGAGTAGTTCTCGCCGAGCACGTTCACGCGCGCGCCCGGCGCGACGCGGCCGCTGTAGACGCGGCCGAACGCGACGAAGCCCGTCGCGTCCGGCGTCGAGAAGAGCTTGACGACGTTGACGCAGAGGGGCCCGTCGTCGGCGCAGCCCGCCATGGCCGCCGCGCGGTCGCCGTCCAGCGCGCCGCAGTAGTGGTACGCGACCTTGGTCGCCGAGTGCGCTTTGGGGCTCGGCGAGTGGCGCGAGATCACGTCGACGAACGCCGCGGTCGCGCGGCCCTTGAAGAAGCGCCGCAGGGCGCACTTGAGCAGGGGCTTCGGGTCCAGGCTGAGCTCGTCGACGGCGAGCTTGATGCCCACGGCGCCGAGCGCCGCGTTGAGCGAGCCCGGCTCCTCGCCCAAGACGTGCGCGTAGATCTTGTAGAGCGGCTCGAGGACGAACTCGACGAAGGACCGCTGGCACCGCTTCTGCTTCGCGCCCGTCGGCGGCGGCGGCGCCCGGCCGAACTTCCGGGTGGAAGAGTCGAAGTAGACGTCGCCCCAGAGCCGCTTCCCGAGCGCTTTGGCGTCGACGCCGCCGCTGCCCTTGCGCGCGGCGTCCTCGCCGTAGACGCGCGCGAAGGACTCGAGCGTGAAGCACCAGCAGTGCTGGGCCGACGCGAAGCAGACGTCGCCCTTCGTCGGGCTGAGCCGCGGCGGCTGCTCGTCGCCGAGGCGGAGCCGGTCGCGCGCGGCGCCCCAGCACTCCGCGACGCACGCGTTGACGTCGTCGACGGTGTGGACGAGCTTGAAGTAGGCGTCCGTCGGCGGGAGCTTGAGCTCGAGGATCAGGCGGTCGACCTTGTTGATGACCAAGGTGAGGCCGACGCGCGCCTCGATCGCGTGCTTGATGAGCCGCTCCGTCGACGCCATGACGCCCTCGACCGCGTCAACAACAATAACCGCGCCGTCGACGGCGCGGAGCGCCGCCGTGACCTCGTCGTTGAAGCCCACGTGGCCCGGGCAATCCACCAAATGCACCATGTAGTGCTTGCCGCGCGAGTCGGGCAGCACCATCGACACGGGCGCGCACTTGATCGACAGCTGGCGCTCCTGCTCGTCCTTGCGCGTGTCGCTGAACTTGAACTCCTTGCTCGGGTCCCACTCGACGCGGTGCGCGTGCTGCACGAAGACGTCCGTTAAAGTGGTCTTGCCGCAGTGCAAATTTCCCAGGAGCGCGACGTTCCGGATGAGCTCGGGCCGCTCCATGAGGCCCCGCATGAAGTCGACGGTGTAGCTCTTCTCGCCCGGGGCGCTGTGGTCCAAGGTACTAAAGAGCCGCACGGCCGCGGGCTTGAGGATCGGCTCCTCGAGCGGCTGCGCGTCCTCGTCGAGCACGACGGTCCGCGCGCCGGGGTAGACGTCCGCCGCGTCGGGGTAGTACTGCTTGTCCTCGTGGAGCACGACGGCGCGCTCGCCGACCTCGTCCTCCTCCATGGCGACGACCTGGCCGTCGCCGGCCGAGGCGTCGCCGTAGGCCGCCGGCGCCGCCTCGCCCTCGCTCTCGTCGTCGCTGTCGCCGCCGATGAGGTTGCCGAACTCGTCGTACTCCATCATGGTTGTCTTTGTGCGTGCGGCGCGGCGCGGCGCGGTGCAAATCGCGGGTAGCGGCGCGCGCGCGCTGGTTGCGCTCGGCGTCGCGGGCGGCGAGCTTGGCGGCGAGCGTCTTTTGTCCGAGCTGGGAGAGCGGCCGATGGATGCTCTCCCGCGGCAAAAACCTGTGCCATCGGTGATTGTCAGGAACGCGACCTACTAATTTCGCGCGCTGCGACGCCGCTGCAGAATTGCCAGAGCCACAAACGTTGCGCAAGCCAGCCATGAGCGCGTAGCACCGCTGAAGCCATGCCCACCCACACACTGCTCCTCCTCCTCGCCGCCGCCGCGCTGGCGGCCCGAGACGACGACTGCGCGCTCGACGCGACTCGCCCCTTCGCGCTCATCCCCGGCGCGGTCAAGTCCGGGACGACGGCGCTCCACTCGGCGCTGCGCGACGCGCTCGGGTCCCCCGACGCGTCGAAGGAGCTCTACCACTTCAACGACGACGGCCGCTACGCCGAGGGCGACGGCGCCTACGCGCGGCGGCTCGGCTGCGGCGGCGGCCGGCGCGTCGACGGCTCGCCCATGTACCTCGCGCACCCGACGGCCCTCGCGCGCGCGGCGGACGCCGCGCCCTGGGCGAGTTGGGTCGTGCTGCTCCGGGCGCCGGTGGACCGCGCGTACTCGCACTTCAACATGCTGGCGCGCTACGGCGAGCGCTCCCTCAAGGCCGCCGCCGACGACGCCTGCGGCCGGGAGCGCTTCGACTTTGGGGCCGCCGTCGACGCGGAGCGGCGGTGCCTCGCGGCCGCGCTGCCCCGGGGCTCGGCGGCCGCGTTCGACGGCTGCGTCGAGGTGCCCGTCGGCGGCGCGCTCGGCGGCCTCGAGGCCCGGGGCAAGCTCGGCCTCTTCGGCGTGACGCACGGCCTCCTGTCCCAGTCGCTCTACGCGCCGCAGCTCGAAAGAGCGGTTTCTCTCGGCCCGCGCGTCCTCGCGGTGTCGCAGCGCGCGCTCTTCGACGACGGGGAGGCCACGCTCGCGCGCGTCTTCGCCGCGCTCGGCGTCGACGCGCCCGCGGCGCCCCTCAAGTCCTACGAGTCGCTCTCCGGCGGCAGCGAGGCCATGGCCGTGCGGCCCAACGCGACCTACGGCGGCCACCGCCACCGCGTCGACGCCGCGCTCCGCGCCGACCTCGACGCGCTCTTCGCCGGGCCCAACGCGGCCCTCGCGGCCGTCCTCGCGACGCTCCCGGCGGCCATCGGCTTCGACCACGACGCGGCCTGGCTTCCCGTCCCCGACGGCGCGTCGGAGCTCTAAGCTTTGTGTGCGCGGGGATCAAGCGTAGGTATCGCGATCGTCACGCCGTTTTTCCGAACGGCGCCTCGGGCGGGCCTTCTCAGTAGCCGAGGGCCGCGGCGGCGAGGACCATCATGCAGGCCATGCCCGAGGCCCAGGCGAGCGCGCGCGCGGGCTGCGGCGCCTTGAAGACGAACGTCGCCGCGTGGACGAGGCGCGAGTAGACGTAGTACTTGACGATGTCGGCGCCGTTCGCCGGCACGGAGCCGTGGGCCGAGAGCAACGAACCGAGCGCGAGGAAGAAGAGCTCGTTCTCCGCCGCGTTCTGCTGCGCGCCGCCGAGGCGGTTGATGTCGAGGACGGGGCCCGCGAAGGTCACGAACATGACCTGGAAGGCCTTGAGGAAGACGTCCGGGATGGACTCGTCCTCGACCCAGTGGGCCTGGCGCGACGACTTGTTGTCGCCCGTCATGAGCCGCGACCGCACCTGGAGCGCGTGCATGAGCGTGATCTTGATGGCGAAGACGGCCGCGGCCCAGAGGAGCATGTCGGGGAAGGAGGTGTCGACGGGGATCGCGCCGCGGGCCATGGTGGACGTGGTTTGTCGAGACCTGCGGCGGCGCGAATCGCGCGCGGCGCTGCGAGCAGGGGACACTGCCGCCGCGGACGAGAGAGAAGTGGACAGAAGAAGCCGACAGCACTCTCGCGGCACCATGTCAACGAGCATCTCAACTTGCGCCACCTTGCACCCCTGTAAAACCAAAGCTGCCCGATCAACGCGACCTCGGGCTTAAAAACCGGAGGCTGCGTGGACCGCGCCCGGCGGCGGCGGCCCGGTCGTCGGCAGGAGCCATGGTGCTGCCCGGCACGACGGAGGACCCGCCGAACAAGGCCTTCGTGAAGCTGCCCCGCGCGAAGCTCGGCGGGCACCGGCGGTCCAAGCACAAGGCCGCGAGCGTGTCCATGGCGAGCTCCGTCGGGAGCGAGAGCCTGGGCTTCGGCCGGCCGCAGATCGGGCGGCCCGCGCCCGGGGACACGCGGCGCTTCTTCCGCGCCGTCGACGCCGCGGACTGCAGCGACCCCGCGAGCCTGCGGCGCCTCGGCATCTCGTACCCGAAAACGACGGTCCTCAAGATGGAGCTGAGCTTCGCGCGGCTCAACCCGCCGGCGGACGTGGACCGGGACCGCGAGCCCGTGCCCGTCGTCGACCCGGCGGACCTGGAGAAGTCCATGGCCGCGAGCTGGCGCGCGATCGACGTCTTCGAGACGCGCGCGAAGAAACGGGACGACACGGGCAGGCTCCGCCAGCGCGTCGTGCTCACGGGCTGGGACCTGCGCAAGTCCCGGCTGACGGCCCAGCAGCGCGACGAGTCGAAGCGCGAGCACGAGAAGCTCAAGTGGGAGCGCCTCGCGCGGAACTTCCGGCCCGGAAAGGACAAACACACGTCGTCCTTCCCGAAGCTCGACGCGCTGCCGGACATTTTGGACCGCGGCGCCCAGTCGGCGCCGAGCGGCGGCATCCGCGACCGCGCGCCGTCGCCCGACGGCGAGGAGAAGAAGCGCAAGAAGCCGCCCGTGCCGCGCCAGAGCGACCAGCCCGACTCGCTCAAGGAGGAGATCCTCGACCTCGCGCGCCGCGAGACCAAGCTCTCGCGCTGCCAGGCCCTCCTCCAGGACAAGCTCCCGGAGAAGGACGTCTTCAAGAAGATCGACACGCTCTCCGCGCTCTGGTCCCACGGCCTCTCCCGGCCTACGCCCACGCCCCGCGGCATCACGGAGCCCCCGCGCGCGCGGACCTGGCGATGATAAGAAGCAGCCGTCGGCCGTCGTCCCGGCGGCGGCGTCGTCCTACGCCGCGTCGGGCGCGTCTCGCTCGATGGTTGATGCCGACGTTGCTGTTGCGCTTGAAATGCGCATGCGCGGGCTGCCCGGCCGAGAGAGCATCTCGAAGATCGCCGCGCCCCCCGGCGCTGCCCCGACCCGTCGACTCGCGCATGGACTACCGCCGCATGGAGACGGGCCTCCAGATCGCGACGGACGCGAAGACGGAACGGCGGACGAGCCGCTGCCTGCTCGTCGGCGTCTGGCTCTTCGTCGCGCTCCAGACGACGCTCATGGTCGGCGTCGTCGCGCTCCTCCGCACGTCGGCGCAGGCCATCGTCGAGGCCCAGGCCTCCATCGCGCGCATGGAATCGGTCGCGACGAGCGCGCACGCCGAGTTCCGGGGCGTCAGCGAGACGGTCCGCGACGCGTCGCGAACGTTCCACGAGCTCGTCGACAGCGAGGCCGGCACGCCCAAGGTCGTCGAGGGCGCCCTCGGCGCCGCCTGGGCCTTCGCGTGTCCGAGGCTCTTCAGAGATCCCTACTACGACGGATTGGACTGCGACGCGCTCGACCGCGTCGCGCGGGGCGTCGTCGACGCGCTCGTCCGGGCCAACGGGGACGCCGGCGGCGCCAATCTGACGCTCGTCGACGCGCTCGCGGCCGCGCCCTTCGTCGACCTGAGCCCGCTCCTCGCGGCGTCGACGACGGTCGGGACGATCCTGGCGTCCATGACGAGCGTGCGCCGCTCGAACGCCAAGGGCGTCAAGTCCTTCGACCTCTTCGGGCCCCGGCTCGCGGCCGTCGGCGGCGCGCTCGCGCAGATCGAGCCCGTGCTCGGGCCCGTCAACGCGCAGCTGCTCCAGCGCGCCCCGAAGAGCGCCGACGACGCCAAGTCGCTCACGAAGATGATCGAGGGCTTCGCGACCTGGTTCGCGCCGTTCGGGTCCGCGACGTCGCTGCCCGCGCTCGGGCAGGTCTGCGTGGACGTCATCGACGTCGTCGAGACGGTGCCCCTCGAGCACGACTACACGCTCCACGACGTGGCCCCGCCGACGAACTACGAGTGGGACAAGTGCAACGTCCACGAGGAAAACGCCTCCGGGGACGACGTGCCCTGCAAATACCCCGACTGCGAGGGGCGCGAGTGCTACAAGCACCACGGCTACGAGGGAAACGCGCCCCGGCCCTTCCTCCAGTGCCACTACACGGCCGCGACGACCGTCGACTGCAAGATCACCGTCGCGGCCTCGCTCCCGGACGCCGAGGCCTGGGGCGTCGTCCGCGCGTACTGCGCGGAGGTCGCGGCCTTCAAGCCGGCGGCGTAAGGATCGGAGTCCGGTGCCGGCCCCGCCGGGCACGCCGCATCGGACGCCGTCGGACGCCTCGGCCTACGCCTCGGCGCGGCGCGCGGCGCGCGTCTTTGCGTGCCCCGGCCAGCCCCGGCGTGACCTCGTCAACCTCGACGACCTGTGCTCGAGCCTCTCCAGGGACGCGCCGCGCTTCTCGACCGCCGCGCCGCGCTTCTCGACCGCCGCGCCGCGCTTCTCGACCGCCGCGCCGCGCTTCTCGACCGCCGCGCTGCGCCTTGCGTCTTGGTTGGCCGGACCGCGTCGTTTTACTGCTCCTTCTTGGGCCAGCAGCGCACGATGTCGCGCCCCCTCGCCGCGTCCCACTTGCCGCAGGACATCTTCCGTCGCATCGCCGACTACGCCGACGGGGCGGGCGTGCTATCGCTGCACCTCGCGAGCGGCCGCGCGGCGCCGCTCTCGTCGGCGTTCCGCGCGGCGAACGAGCTGCGGCGCACCGCGCGGCTGCGGACCGAAGACGACGACGCCATGTTCCGACGGTGGGAGGCGCTGGTCGTGCCGCTGCGCTGCGTCGCGCTCGTGATGAACAAGCTGGTGTTCGAGCGCGTGTTCCGCGGAGCGGCGAGGCGGGGAGTCGAGGCGCTGTCGGCGCTCGACGCGACGCGGTTGGACCTGCGCTTCAAGTCCAATGCTGATCGTGACGATTTCGCGCAAATGTGGAACCGGTTTAAGCGATCCAAGGATGCTCAAGATTTGATGGAACTAGAGGAGGTAGATCAGGAAGAGATGCGCCAGGTCATCGGGGCACAAGACGCGGTCGGCCACAAATTTCGATGCCCAATCCTAAAACTGCTCGAAGAACAGCGCGAGGTCGGTGACGAGTCGCCGACGTACATCTGGCTGTCGCGGCACGCCCAGGTCAAGTTCCAGCCGCCTGGAACTACGTTCGAAATCACGTACGCGATGGACCAGTTGGTGGTAGACGCATTCGCTCAAATTGCTTTCCAGGTGTTACCCACGGAAATCGAGCATTTCGACCCCCTGTCACCGCGCCGCGGCTACCCTGATGTCGCTGCCGTGCACGCGCAAGAGCGTCGCCAGCCGCTGCCGCCGTGCAGCGACCCGCGGCGCTACACCTGCGACGGCTGCGACGGTTGCAACCCTGTCGCATACGCTTGCCCGCTCTGCTCGCATGCCCGCTGCGTGGCTTGCCATCAAACGAATGACCATGTCTGCGACGCCCGTTCGCGCCTAATGGCGGAATCGAAGACCGCTGGTGCATTCGCGCAACGCATGCAGCGCTTCTTTTCCGCTTTCGATGATCATGTGATCCAGACCGACGACGACATCCAGAACAATATCCAATTCAACCGGCGCCTCCTCGCACAGCGCGACTGGCTGGCCGCCGTCGACGCGGACCGCAAGGTCGCGCGCTCGAAGATCGCGGAGGGCGCCGCCGCGCATTCCGCCTGGCTTCTGGAGAAGTACCAGCACAGCCCGCTCAAGCCGCCGGCCGCCGACGACGCGCCCTAGAGTGCCCGGAGGAGCCCTCCGAATACACCCACCGCCGGTCCAAATACTGTAACTTGAACCCGGTGGCGCTGCGGCTCTCCGCCTTCGTCCACCGCCACTTCGTCGACCGCGGCGCGCCGGTACCGGGGAACCGCACGGTCGCGATCCTGAAGACGGCGGCCGGGAGCACGTCGCAGGGCGTCCTGTGCCCGGACCGCGTCGCCGCGATCCTCCGAAAACACCGCGCCGAGCTCCTCGACCCGGCGGCGCTCGGCGAGATCGCCCTCATCAACGCGCTCGCCGCCGCGACGACGCTCGTCGTGTCCTGGGGCACGACGTCCATGAAGAACTACGTCTACGTCGGCGGCCGGTGCACGGACATCTACGTCTACTACACGGCCGACTTCGCAGGGCAGGCGAACAACCCCAGCGCCCGGCGCTCGACGTTCCGCAACGCGACGATCCACTACGTGGCGGCCGAGGACCTCGTAAGGTAGCGGACTCAAGTAGCGCTGCGGGTCGACGCTGACGCCATGGCCGGCGCCATATTGCCTCGAGCGAAGAAGAGCTCTTAGCATGGTCCGCCTGCTTCTCAGACGAGGCCTGCGACTTGGCCTCGCGCCAGCGAATCATCGACGGCGCGCGCCCGTGCTCGCGGCGACGCGCGGCGACCACAGCCACAGCCACCACCACCACCGCGAGGGCCCGCCCGACGTGACGATCAAATGGGTGTTCAAAAAAAGCGGCGAGGCCATCGAGACGCCGGCCTACTTCGGGGAGAACCTGCTGCGCCTCGCGCAGCGCCACGACATCCCCCTCGAGGGCGCCTGCGAGGGCGTGACGGCCTGCAGCACCTGCCACTGCATTTTGGAGGACGACTTCTTCGACGAGCTCGAGGAGGAGCTCGAGGAGGACGAGGAGGACATGCTCGACCAGGCCTTTGGGCTGACGCCGACGAGCCGCCTCGGCTGCCAGCTCAAGGTCGACGAGCGCTTCGACGGCGCGGTCATCATGCTGCCGGAGGCCACGCGGAACTTCTACGTCGACGGCCACGTCCCGCAGCCGCACTAGCGCGCGCGCGCGACGCTTGCGCGCCGTCGTAAGGGGTCGATTCTTTCTCTCCTCGCGTTCGAAACCCAATTTTCCGTTGGCTTGGCGTGAGCCGGGTACTCGCTGGGAGGCGTTTTGTTGAACGGCACCGTCGAGGTGTTGCACCGCTGCCACGAGACGGAGAGCATGTGCTGGCGCCTCGCGCTGCTCGCGTGCGCCATCGGCAGCCACGCGCTGCTCGCGCCGTCGCCGCGCCGCCAGGCATCGCTCCTCCGCGCCGCCGCCGCTGGCGAGGCGCGCGTGCTGGAGATCCTCGGCGACGGCAGGCTCTCGCTCGGACGCGACGAGGAGGCGGAGCTCGAGACGCTGATCGCGAATCTCCCCGCGTCGACGCCGTCGGTGGAGGCGCTGCGCGGCGACTGGCGCCTGCTCTACACGTCGAAGAGCGCCTTCGACGCGTCGAACCCGCTCGGGAAGCGCGTCGACGGCACGGCGCCGGGCGTCGAGGGCGCGTTCGACGCGCTGTTCGGCGGCTCCGGCGCGGCCGCGAGCTCGTCGCCGATCCAGCGCTTCCTGACGGGCCTGGAATCCGTCGACATCGCCCAGAACATCGAGCTCTCCGACGACGGCGCGACGGGTCGCGTGGACCAGCTCGTGGAAGGCGGCGACGGCTTCCGGCTCCGCCTGTCGGCGGCGGGCAGTCTGGCGGACTCGGGACGAATCAATTTCGCCTTCGATCTAGCGTATTTCGAGGTCTTCGGTCGGCGCCTGCCCTATCCGGTGCCGTTTAAACTGCTGGGCGACGAGGCCAAGGGCTACCTCGACACGCGCTACGTCTCCGAAGGGCTCCGCGTGTCCACGGGCAACAAGGGCACGACCTTCATCCTGGGCAAGGGCACACGGACGCCCAAAGCCCCGAAGCGGAAATCGGGGAAGCTGGCCGACGAGGAGGCCGCGGCGCGCGCCGCGTGCGCGACGGGCGAAAGGGCCGCGATCCTGCCGGCCGTCGAGAAGCTCGAGAAGCTGCGCCCGGCGTCGGACGACCTCCTCGACGGCGACCTCGCGCAGCTCGAGGGCCGCTGGTCCCTCGTCGCCACCGTCGCGGGCCGCGCGGCGGGCGAGGACGAGCGGCTCGCGGAGACGGGGATCGCGGGCGCGGTCAACGCCTCGGGCATCGTCGTCGACGCCGGCGCCGAGCGCAAGCCCGTGCAGGAGATCCGCGGCGGCCGCATCGCCAACGAGGTGCGCGTCGACCTGCCCCTCTTCGGCGGCGCCTGGGTGCGCGTCGCCGGCGGCGTCGAGAAGGGCGCGAACGGGCGCCGCGCGAACGTCGAGTTCGATTCCCTCGAGTTCTTCGACGAAACGTCGGGTCAGCGCGTCTTCCGCGCCGCGTGGCCCTTCAAGCTCGTCAAGCAGTTCCGGCCGTCGCTGACGACGGGCGCCGACGACGTCGCCTGGCTCGAGACGACGTACCTCTCCGACGACGTCCGCGTGGGCCGCGGCAACAAGGGGAGCGTCTTCTTCCTCACGCGCACGGACGAGCCCTGCCCGCTGACGCCCGCGGACTTCTAACTTAGTCGGACGGCCGCGAGTGCCAGGACGACGGCGCCTGCGACGAGGCCGTCAGCCCCGTCTGCTGCGTGCCGGAGGACGACTGGAGGTGGGACCCGGCGGAGTCGGTCAGCTCGCGGCAGGGCACGCGGAGGACCTCGACGGACGACGACGACCGGCGCTGACTGAGGTCCTCGCCGAGGCCCCGGTGCGTCTCGTGGCGGTAGTGGGGCGGCCGCCGGTCGACGCCCAACAGCTGCGCGTGGTCGCGGCCCTCGTGGAGCAGCCGGAGCTCCTCGGCGGCGACGGCGCCGTGGTCCGCGGCCCGGAGGAGCCCCGCGTGGGCCTCGGGCCGCCGCGGGAAGCCGTCGTCGCGCGGGTGCGGGTCGCCCGCGTGGAACGGCGCGTTCGGCCGGTGCCCCGCCGGGCCGAGCAGCCGGTCGACGACGAACTGGTTCCGCTTGCGCTGGATGACGACGCGCTTCGGCACCTCGGGCACGCAGCCCTCGATGACCATGCCCACGTGGACGAGGAGGTACTCCATGAGGAGGAACAGGAGACCCTTCGCCGTCGCGTCGTACTGGTCCACGCCGCCCGACACGTAGACGAACATGAAGACGTTCGTCAGCGTCGCCAGCCGCGACATGACCCAGAGCACGTCGTTCCAGGCGCCGAGGTCCTCCACACGCACGGGGAAGGGCGGCCGGCAGATGCACGTGAGCTTGAAGCGGTCGACGTGGAACTCGACGCAGTTGTTCAAGATGGCCAACGCGATGACCGGCGGCCAGGCGACGACGAAGAAGGTGCAGAAGCCGTACTGGATCATCAGCTCCGCGATGTCGTCGAGGCAGATCGGGTTGAAGGTCTCGCGCGCGAACTGGCGCTCGATCTCCTCCGCGAGCTCCGGACACACCTGGGCAGCAAAACGGTGATTCAACGTCGCTTCAACGTGAGTGTTCCGCGCGCGCGCGTTCCGGAAAAAGCGCCCACGCTTCGAGGCCGTTCCGAGAGATGATCGCTCGTCCAAAAATCAGCCGAAACGAGTGGAAAACGGCCGAGAAAGGAGCCTTTGAAGTTGGGAATTTCGCTCTCTTTTGCTGCCCTGGGGCACACCGCGGCGTGGACCTCCGCGTCCTTGCGCTCGTCGCGGTCGTGGTTCGCCGTCCACCAGCGGAGGCGCCGCTCCGGCGCCGCCGACGACGCCGGCGGCGGCGGCGGCGCGCTCGGCCGCCGGCCGCAGATCCAGCGGTAGACGTGGCCGGGCACGTCGAGCTCGAGGAGGTTGCCGATGACCAGATTCGACACGAAGAGGGACGCGAGCTGCACGGCGACGTCGTCGAGGCAGTCCCGCGCGTCGCAGGGCGACCGCAGGTGCGTCCAGGCGGGCAGGTGGCTCTTCACGGCGACGTAGAAGAGCGCGAGGTACGACGTGATCGCCTTGAGCGCGAACATCTTCGTCACGTAGGAGCCCTCGTAGGCCGTCTCCGTGCGGTGGTTCTCGTAGTCCGTCGTCGCCTCGGAGATGCGCCCGAAGGCGCTGTCGACGGCCATGAGGCCCGCGTTCAGCGCCGGCGCAACGATGGACCCGAGCGGCACGCCGACCCGCGGCACCGCGGGCACGAGCGCGTTCAAAAAGCTCCGGATCCAGAAGAGCACGACGATGATCGCCGTCACCAGCGACAGGACGACGGCGATGACGGCCGCGGCCCCGCGCTTCTTCGCGTTCGCGAGGCGCTCGGGGAAGTAGAACTTCGCGCGGCCGTCGACCAGACTCCGCCGCTGGACGACGCCCGGGTGCGCGGCGAACTGGGGCCGGTTGCGCTGCTTGTTCGTGAACCCGGCCGTGCCGAACTCCAGCGCCAGCTCCGCCTCGCGCCGCCGCCAGAGCCGCGTGAACTTGATCGTCCACAGCGCGACGACGATCGAGAAGCCGACGTCGATGGCCGCGGCGAACTTGTAGAACCCGCGCGCCTTGAGCGCCGTCGCCGCGCCATAACACAAGAGCCCCGTCGGCGCCAGGAAACATAATTGCCGCGTCTGGAAGCTGTGGAACGCGAAGTACAAAGCCACGTGCTCGCCCCAGACGTCGCGGATCGCGCCGTGATCCGCCTCGCGCACAAAGGGCACGTAGCGCCGCGGCAGCCGCTCCCGCAGGCGCGCGAGGCTCAGCGCCGACACGAGCGGGAAGTAGTCCACGACCGCGGCGTCCCGGACGGCCGCCGTCGCGAGCGGCAGGTAGCACCCCCCCTCGGCCTCGGGCGCGGCTAAAATCGACGCGAGGAGCCGCACGCGGTCCGGCCCGGCAAAGAGGCCCTGGTCGCGGCCCAGGCCCCTCGGCCCGCGCTTCGCGTAGGGCGACGGCGCGCCCGTTTCGTGGTACGGCGCGTAGTGATGCGCGTAGGGCGGCAGCAGCCAGCCGCGGCTCGCGTCGACGCCGACGGCGACGCCGCGGTCCGCCGCGAGCGCCGCGAGGCGCGCGGGGTCCAGGAGCATGGAGAAGCCCACGCGCGCGGCCTCGCGCCGGAGCCGGTCCTCGCCGCCGCGGAGCGCGACGAACTTGACGGGGTCGCCGGCCTCGATGCCGATCATCTCGTTGAGCCGCGCGCCCGCGCGCGCGAGGCGGCTCCCCGCGCGGCTCAGGCTCGGCCGTTCCACGTGCAGCTCGTGGACGACGAAGTCCAGCTCCGCGTAGGCCAGGCGGCACACGAGGTCTTCCCAGGGCGCGCTGCCCGCCGGCGCCTTGACGACGAGCACGAGGTCGTAGTCGACGGACGCGAAGCCTTCCGCGTCCTTCATGAGGGGCTCCTCCAGATCTTCCACGGACGCCCCGAGGGGCACGGACACGCGCCGGGCCCGCGGCGGCGGCGCCATGCCGTCGAGAAGGCAATTCGGGGCTGCCGATTGGCCGCTCGCCGCTTCAACCAGTGCTTCACCGTCGGCTTCACCACTTAGTCGAGCACGCGCGGCGCCTCGTACTTGGACCGGAGGAAGAAGCGGTGGGACGTGCGCATGTGCGTGTCGCCGGCGGGCTGGCGCGTGAAGTTCGTGTGGACGATGGCGTCGGGCGCCGTGCAGGGCCGGTCGTCGCCGTCGATGGCGATGGTCGGGTAGGACCGCGCGTAGGGGTCGCGGTGGTAGAGGCGCAGGACGTCGCGCGCGCGCTTCGCCTCGCGCTTGCGCTCCTTGGCCTCGCGGATGCGCTCGGGCCGCACGGCCGCGACGTAGGCCGCGCGGCGCCGCTCGAGGTTCGTCGTCGACGCCGCGCGGCGCCGCTCGAGGGGCGCGCGGCCCTCCTCGAGGGAGCCGGCGGCGCCGGAGAAGGCGCTGCGCTCGTCGGAGATCCAAAAGTCCGTCAGCCGCGCGTTCTTGATGAAGGGCGACCCCTGCGACGGCCGCGGCTCGCCGCTCCGCGGCGAGATGAGCGGCTGGAACCGCGGCCGCGTGAGCTCCGGCGCGACGCGCGCGCCCCACTCGTCGGACCGCCGCGGGGACCAGGTCGCCCCGGGCGTGTCGAGGCGCTGGAACTTCTCCGGGAAGCCCAGCTCCACGGCGCCGCGGTAGGCCTCGCGCTGGGGCAGCGGCGCGAAGCGGTCCGCGGCGCCGAAGGAGCCCTTCGTCGAGCTCGTCCGCGGCCGCCGCACGCGCGTCGTCTTCGTGACGCCGATGACATTGTTCATCGGCCGCGTGGCGCTCATGTCGGACTCAGCAAAGCGCCATCTCTTAGCGCGGGTGGTTGCATGCAATAAAAAATGAATCTTCCGGTTCTTGCCCTTTTGTATATAAAGGCGGCAGCATGGCCGCGCTGCGTCCGTCGAGCGGCGTGGCCGGCGTGCACGAGCCCTGCGCCCTCGACTACGGCGTCTCGGCGAACGAGAAGGCGCGGCGCCTCGCGCCCTGCCTCGGCCGCGACGTCACGGACGCGCCCGCCGACGGCGAGGCGACGCGGCGCAAGGACTGGAACGACGGCTTCTTCCACGGCCGCGAGCAGGCCGCGCCGCGCAGAGAGGACCCCGAGGAGCGGTCCGAGGCCTGGGCGACGCACGCGCGGCCCGAGATCGCCGAACGTTTGAAGATCGCCGACGTCGTCGCGCTCGTCGACGAGGCGTGCGATCCGGATTTGGCCGCGGACGTCGCCGTCGTCGTCCTCGAGCAGGCCGTGCTGGGCTTCGGGCGGGACCCGGCCTGCGCCTGCGCGGGCTTCCGCGAGTCGGCCTTTTACATCGCGTGCGTGGACATGGGCCACCCCGTCGCGAAGGAGTGGTCCGCGGACGGCTGCGAGCACCAGGGCAGCAAAAGGGTGATTCAACGTCGCTTCAACGTGAGTGTTCCGCGCGCGCGCGTTTCGGAAACAGCACCTACGCTTCGAGGCCGTTCCGAGAGATGATCGCTCGTCCAAAAATCGGCCGAAACGAGCGGAAAACGACCGAGATAGGAGCCTTTGAAGTTGGGAATTTCGCACCCTTTTGCTGCCCAGGCGAGCACCGAGGCAACGACCCGAGCAGCCCGCCGCTGACGAAGCTCCGCGAGGGCGAGGTCGCGCGGGCGGCGCTAGTGTGCGCGAAGCGCGACGAGTGCAAGGCCGTCGCCGTGCACTTTTTTGTCGCGTATCTGTGCTCGCTGCCGCCGGCGCTGGCGCACCACGCGGCGCACGCGAACTACAGCAAGATGCTGCGCCTCGCGCTCTTCGACAAGGGCGCGGGCGGCGAGGCGGGCGTGCGCGCCGCCGCCGCCGTCGAGGCCCTGGACCTCTACGTGGCGGGCTGCCGGCCCGTGGACCTCGACGCGCGGTTCTTGTACGCGTACGCGGAGGACGTCGCGGCGACCTGCCCCGCGGCGAGCTTGCTGAGTCTGCCGCGGGTCCAGCACTGCGACGGCTGCGGCCTGCGGCAGCCGGGCATGGCGAGGTGTTCCCGCTGCAGGCACGTGGCCTACTGCTCCAACGGCTGCCAGCGAAACGCGTGGGCGCGGCGCCACCGCAAAACGTGCGCGGAGCTCGCGAAGCTCACGGAACGCGCGGACGAGGTCGGCTACGAGCCGGGGCTCGACAAACAGGTCTGCCCGGAGTGCGACTTCGGGCCGACGACGCCGGACCTCCTCCGCTGGCACTGCACGCTCACGCGGCACAAGCGCTGGCCCGAGATCGACCTCATCACCTACGCCGCGCCGGAGCGGGCGCGGGGTAACGAGTGACATCGGGAACTTCAAGGTCGTTGGTTGCCTTTTGAAAAACGCTTGCGCGCTGCCCCGGCATGGCGTCCTTCGAGCCCCCCGCGGACGAGGCGCTGGCGCTCAAGGAGGCGGGCAACGCGCTCTTCGCCAAGGCGGACCTGGAGGCGGCCCTCGAGAAGTGGCTCGCGGCCCTCGTGCTCCTGCAGCAGCGCGAGCCGGCGCCCGCCACCGACGAGGTCATGGCGAAGATCCTCACGAACCGGGCGCTCGCGCTGCTGAAGCTGCGGCCGCCGAGGGCCGACGAGGCCGTCGAGGAGGCGCGCCTCGCCTGCCGCCTCGCGCCGACCTACCTCAAGGCCAGGTACCGCCTCGCGACCGCGCTCGCGGCGTCGGGCGACGCCGCGGGCGCCGCCGAGGCCCGCGCGGCGCACGCGGCGGCGGTGGGCGCGGCGGCGGACGCCGCCGCGGAGGACGAGGAGCGCGCGGGACGCGACGCGCTCCAGCGCGACCTGTGCGGCGGCCGGCTGTGTGCAAATCAACCAGTGAGCTGGGACGTCGGGGCCAAACTTCAGAATTCTCTAGCTCGGTCAAATCGAAGTCGATTCGGCTGATTTTTGGACGAATCGATTGCTCTTAGCGAGTTCTCGAAGCACGGCGGAAGTGCTCGTGTCAAAACATTCGAATACGCGCACATTGAAGTCGGGTTGAAGATTTGATTTGCACACAGGCGGCCGGGACCCGCTGGAGCTCGTCGGCGAGGCGCCGCCGGCGCACGGCGACGCGCGCGCGACGGCGTCGAGCGACGGGAGTGGCGTTTCGCGCCGGGAAATGAGAAGGAAATCCGACCCTGTCGCCCGTGGTAGGCACGCGATCGTCTCGTTGACGGCGGCGCAGATGGGGAAGCTGTCGCGGGCGTCGGCGCGCTACGAGGCGGAGGGCGACCACGAGCGGTCCGCGGCCTGCGACCTGCGGCGCGTGTCCTCGCAGCTCGCGCTCGCGGCCGTACAGCGCCGCGTCTACGCGGCGCCCACGGACGCCGAGTTCGCCGCGATCGCCACGTTCGGCCCCGCCGACGAGGGGCGGAGGAAAGCCGCGGAGCTCATGGAGCGGGCCATGGAGGAGTGCCGCGCGCTCGGCGACGCGCACTTCAGCCGCGGCGACTTCGCGCTCGCGGGTCCGGCGCCGGCGTCGGATTCCCGAGAGATGTGAGACCGGGAAACGCGCTCTCGTAGGCCGCTGCTGGTCCCTGGGCCTGGACCACGACGACGTCGGCGACGTCTGGTGCAACGTCGGCGTCTGCTACCGCAACGTCGGCCGCCTCAAGCGCGCGCGGCGATGCTTCCGCGGCGGCGCGGACCTCGGCCACGGCGACGCGTGCGTCGAGCTCGCGCGCCTCGAGTTCCAGGGCCGAGGAGGGCCGGCGGACCGCGAGGCCGCCGCCGCGCTCTGCGCGCAGGCGCGGGCCGTGGCGACGCCGCCGCGCGCGGCGCGCCTCGCGCAGCTCGACGAGCTCGAGGCCGCGCTGGCGCGCGCGCAGCTCGCGGACATGGAGGCGCTCCTCGCAGAGGAGGAGTAAATTCTTTTGGCTTCAAGGTGGCTGCACTCGAGCGGCACAGTCCCCGTGGCACGAGATCGACCACGGGTGCTGCGCGCCCCGGCACGGCGTCCCGGGACACGCCGCGCTGGGCGCATGTTGGCTTCAGCATTGGCTGCGGAGCGGCATCGACAGCAGCACGGGGCCGACCACGAGTACCAAGCCGCCCGGCACGGCGTCGGGACGCACTAACTACGCGCACGTCGGGACGCGGACCCGACTCCCTGACGTGTCCGATGGCGTCGCGCGCGCGCAGCATCCTGCGCGCCAAGTGCCACTTCGAGGTGCTCGACCTCCCCCAGAAGCAGGCGACGTGCGAGGCCGTGAAGCAGGCCTACCGCGCGGCGGCCCAGGAGGTGCACCCGGACCACCTGGACCACGCGGACGCGGCCAAGGCCTTCGCGCGGCTCCGGACGTCCTACGAGGCGCTCCAGACCAACGGCGGCCGCACGCGCCACCTCATGCTCCTGCGGAGGAACCCGCCCGCGCGGCCGAGCGTGCTCCTCAAAGTCCTCGACGAGGCGGGCTCGACCAAGGGCCTCGCCGCCGCCGCCGCCGTCTTCATCGCCGCGGAGCTGCTGCGCCTCGCCATCGCCGACGACGAGCCCGCGCCCGCGGCGCCCGTCCGCACGTTCACGCCGGAGCGGCGCGCGACGGCGACGCCGCGCGCGCCCGCGTTCGCGTCCAACGCCGGCGAGCTCTACGGCGGGGCCACGAGCGCCGAGGTCCAGAGCAGCGTCGCGTCCGCCCTCGAGAAGCGGCGCGACAAGCGCCGCGACGACGCCGCGCGGCCGCCGCGCGCGTAGCGCGACCGGCCGCCGTTTTTTGTCCCCGTTCGATCGCACTGTTCTAAGAATCGCACTCTGCTTCGTTGTCTCCGTTCGATCGCACTGTCGAAGAATCGCACTCTGCTTCCGTGGGCTTTAGACTTTACAGACATGGCACTCGCACGCAAGCCTAGGCGGCCATCTTGAGCGTGACGATGCAGGTCACTTCGCCCCGCGGCTTGCCCTTGTACAGGAGCTGCAGCTCGAAGAGCCGGGGCTCGTTGGGCTTCGACCGCAGGTCCGACACGTCCAGCATGGCCTGGCCGAGCAGGTCGTCCTTCGACGCGACGTCGTAGTCCCATGCCGAGAATTCCTACGCGCGCGCGAGAGCGTCGAGCGTCGGACGATGTCGCGACGGGGAACGTCGAGCGTCGGACGATTTCGCGAGACGCCGGCGAATCGCGAATCCCGCGTCGAGGTCGGCGTCGGTGACATGCAGCGTGAGCGTCTCGTCGATGCGCACGGACGATCCCGCCTGCGGAGAAACGATGAGGCGTCGCGAGCGAGCGCCGTCGGGACGCCGCCGTCGAGCGTTGTGCATGATAATCGTCTTCGCCTGCTTCTGCCGGCCGACGACCTTGACAACGACGTAGACCTGCGCGGATTCTTAAGAGAACATGTATCTGTTGATGGGGCGCCGCTAAGCGACATCATTCTTCGACATAAAGTCTGCCGACCGGAGGCCACGGCACTCGATTTTCGCCACCTCGAGGGCTTTCAGCGCCTCCCCCATGCTTCGGCGCGTCGAACGCTACGGCGAATCGAAGGTTTTGGGCGGCGCGCGCGACGGTGGGCCGTGAGGATCGCCGACAGTTTCTGCCACAGCGTTGCCCGCCCTGCAGACTTGCAGTCGAGGTTCTTGGCCAGAAACCGACACCGCAGGCGCCCCCGGCGACATCCTGAGCCCTAGAAGCTCCCAAGCAAACGCCCATGTCGCTCCAAGAGGCCCTGGGCCTGACCGGGCGCCATAACAGAGACTACCAGCTCCGACTCAACGGCAGAGACACGATCTACAACATCATCGATCTGTCCGGCTTCGATCGCGACGCGAGCCTCAAACTCATCTCCGACGGCGTGCTCGCGCGTACGACCGCGTCCCGGGGGGGGGGGGGCGAGAGAGGATTTGCGACGCCGACGATTTCGCGCGACGCCGACGCTTTCGCGTGCGACGATTTCGCGCGACGCCGTCGGCGTCGCGCGCGATGGTTCCCCGCGACGCCGACCGTGTCACACGACGCAACCACAGGTCGACGCGACGGTCATCTTCTACCTCGAACCGGAGACGTCCGCCGGCGACCCGGACCCCGAGCTCTACGCGAGCTGCTCCATCGACACGCTTTGCTCGCTGCCGTCGGGCGACGACGAGCGCGTGGTCGCGCTGTCCGCGCGCGCCCGGCGGGCCGCCGCCGCCGCGCCGCCGTGCGAGAACTACCTCCAGGCCGAGGTCGCCGTGGAGACGGCGCACGGCTGGCTGACGACGGACTGAGCCCGAGCCGGCGGCCCCGCCCCCCGGCGGGGCGCCGCGCGCGAAGAACCCAAAAGTCCCGCCGACGAGCGAATCCGGCGCGACGCACCTGCATAAAAAAGCCACCCTTACGAGTCCTCGGCGGGGATCGCCTGCTGGAGCTCGACGAGGACGCCGTTCGTGTCCTTTGGGTGCAGGAAGACGACGGGCACGCCGTGGGCGCCGATCTTGGGCTCCTCCGAGAGGAGGCGCACGCCGCGGGCCTTGAGGTCCGCCATGGCCGCCTCGACGTCGTCGACCTCGTGGCAGAGGTGGTGGAGCCCGCCGCTCGGGCTCTTAGCGAGGAACGCCGCAATGGGGCTCGCGTCGCCGAGGGGCTCGAGGAGCTCGACGTGCGTGTTGCCGGCGTCGACGAAGCACACGGTGACGCCGTGGTCCGGCAGCGCCTGGAGCTCCGACACCGACGCGCCGAGCGCGTCGCGCCACATGGCGCTCGCCTCCTCGATGTCCGGCACGGCGAGGGCCACGTGGTTGAGCCGCCCGAGCTGGAACGTCGCGAGGCCGCGCAGCGCTGCGACGTTATTGCGCGCCGGCGCTCGGAAAGCGCAGCGCGCCGCTGCGCGTCGCGCGCTCGCCGCGATGGATGCCATTCTGTGATTCTCGCTGCACACAAAGTCAACTTGCCGGAAAGGAGCGGTCAAGGCGCACCAAAATCCTAACACGCCTTGGTCGGCGCGCGCGCGCGGAGCCAGGACGCGGCGGTCTTGGCGAGGTCGCGCGTCTTGCAGGAGGACCAGGCCTCGACGAAGGCGCAGAACCGCCGCCAGTCCGGCTCCCGCGCGGCCGCCAAGTCCAAGTCGAAGACCGCGTGCGCCGGCAGCGCGGCCCGGACGCGCGCGTTGTGCGCGGCCTCGTCCGGGCAGGGGTCCGTCGACGTCGTGAGGACGAACTTGGCGCGGGGGTATTTCGCCGCGATGGCCGCGTAGGCCCGCGACCACCGGAGCCCCACGAGGACCTTGCACGTCTCCGGCGCCGCGCCGTCGCCGTCGCACGCCGGGTCCCGGTTGACGAGCTTGAGGTGGGCTAGGGCGCGCCGCAGGGCGACGTTGCCCGTGCCCCGGGCGCCCACGGCGACGACCAGATTGCCCGGGTCGTACTTCATGGGCTTGTGGACGATGCGGCAGCCCGCGTCGCAGGACACGACGGCGCTGTTGTTCGCGCGGCAGAAGGTGCCGTTGTCGACGTCGACGTGGCCGAAGCCCATGCGCTCGCGGGCGAGGCGGAGGCCCACCATGAGCGCGGGCTGGTCGCGCCGCAGCCGGAGCTCCGCGAACGCCGCGACGAACCAGCCTGGGCAGGACAAGAGAGATTCAACGTCGCTTCAACATGAGTGTTCCGCGCGCGCGCGTTCCGGAAAAAGCATCCACGCTTCGAGACCGTTCCGAGAGATGATCGCTCGTCCAAAAATCAGCCGAAACGAGTGGAAAACGGCCGAGATATGAGCCTTTGAAGTTGGGAATTTCGCTCTCTTGTCCTGCCCTGGAACCAGCCCAGCGCGGCGGCCGTCCGGGGCGACGTCGCGTCGAAGGCCGCCACGGCGCTGTTGTGCTCCACGCGGTAGTGCTTGTCGACGGGCATGAATCGCTGGGACGTCCACTGGTCGTGGAGCACCGCGTCAACGCCCGACTTTGCTAAATCGCCCAAAAGCCGCGCGGCGAAGTCCGGCCGGCACGGCCGGCTGTCGAAGTCGAGGTAGACGAAGCGCTCGAAGGGCGCGAAGAGGAAGGCGTGGGCCTTGACGCTCTTGACGCGCAGGCGCACGTCGCCTTTGAACGCGCCGCGCAGCGCGGGCAGCTCGACGTCCTCGTAGGCCGTCAGCACGTCGAAGAGCCGCCGCACGTCCGCGGCGTCGCCGGGCTCTAACGCAGTCAGCAGGTGCCGCTCGTAGAAGAGCGCGTAGCGCGTCCGCGCGCCGAGTCTGAGCAGGTAGCGCACGCACGGCAACACCTCCTGGGCGACGAAGTCGCTCGAGCCGCCGACGGCGTAGACGACGCCGTCGCCGCGCCGCGCGATCGCGGGGCGGTGCCGCAGCACGGTCGGCACGTCGCCCTGCGCGTCGAGTCGCGCGTAGGCGCGCTCGGCAGCGGCGTCCCACTGGTCGCCGGAGGCGGTGCTGGAGCCGCTGCGGGTGGGCGCCACGGTCGCGACGAGCGCGACGAGGCGCAGCAGCGATGCGTGGCGCATCGCTGCAAGTTGGTTTTGATGCGTTGTTATAAACGCGTCTGCCGAGGCAGTTGCTGCGGCAGGCGCCTGCGCTCGGGCCATCACCATGCTGCCGCGTCAAAAAATCATCAAAAAAAAAAAATCGGGCGATCACTCTTCGGCTGTGCTCGGCGTAATTGTGCACGCGATGGCAGGCAAGAAAGCAGCGCGCAAGGCGCCCAAGGTCACGAAAAAGCCCGTACCGGAGCCAGAGAGCAGCGACGAGGAAGAGGTGACGGCGTCGGCGAGCTTCTTCGTCGGCGATGACGACAGCAGCAGCAGCGACGGCGGCGAGGCCGGCGGCGGCGACGACGACGCGATGATGGACGACGACGCGTCGTCGGACGAGGAGGAGGCGCCGGCGGCGCTCGAGCAGCCCAAGGAGAAGAAGCGCGTGGCCTTCGCGGAGCCCGCGGCGCCCGCGGCGGCGCCCGCCGAGGCGGCGGACGAGGACGACGACGACGAGGAGGAGGAGGTGGACTGGGCGACGCTCTGCGAGAACGTGCGCCTGGACCGGCGGCTCGCGCGGGCCGTCGCGGAGCTGAACTGGGCGCGGCCGTCGCTCATCCAGCAGGCCGCGCTGCCGGTGGCGGCCAGGGCAGGACAAGGGTGATTCAACGTCGCTTCAACGTGAGTGTTCCGCGCGCGCGCGTTTCGGAAACAGCACCCACGCTTCGAGACCGTTCCGAGAGATGATCGCTCGTCCAAAAATCAGCCGAAACGAGTGGAAAACGACCGAGAGAGGAGCCTTTGAAGTTGGGAATTTCGCACTCTTGTCCTGCCCAGGTGGCGGCGACCGGCCGCGACCTGCTCATCCGCGCGCGCACGGGCAGCGGCAAGACGGCGTGCTACGCGCTGCCGATCCTCGACCTCATCCTGAAGAAGAAGGCGGAGACGCTCGAGGGCCGGCGCGAGTACGGCGGCGTGCTCGCGGTCGTCCTCGTGCCGACGCGGGAGTTGGTCGCGCAGGCCGCGACCCAGCTCCGCGAGCTCGCGGCCTACTGCCGCGACGACGTCGCCATCGTCGCGCTGCGGGGCGAGAGCGCCGCCGAGGACGCGGCCCAGGTGCGGAGCGGCAACGCGGACGTCGTCGCGGGCACGCCCGCGGCCGTCAGGGACGCCGTCGAGCGCGCGCGCGCGCACGACGACCACCCGCTCCTGCGGCTCCGGAGGACCTGCCGCGCCTACGCCGTCGACGAGGCCGATCTGGTGTTATCGTTTGGCTACGACGAGGACGTCGCGTTCGTCGCGCGGGAGCTCGGCGTCGCGGGCGACGACGCCGCGGACCGCGCGGACCGGCCCCAGGGCTTCCTGCTGTCCGCGACGCTCGGCGACGACGTGCTCAAGCTCAAGAAGCTCGCCCTGAAGGGCGCGGCGACGGTCAAGCTCGACGAGCGCGCGGGCGTCTTCGGCGGCGACCGCGACGACGAGGCGCAGCTCGCGCAGTACTACGTGCCCGTCGCCAAGGGCGACAAGTACCTGGTGACCTACGTCATGCTCAAGCTCGCGCTCTTGGAGGGCCGGGGCGTGTTGTTCGTGAATTCCGTGGACGCCTGCTACAAGCTGAAGCTCTTCCTCGACCTGTTTTCGATCCGGTGCCTGGTGCTGAACGCGGAGCTGCCGCTGGCGTCGCGGCTCCACGCCATCGAGTCCTACAACCGGGGGCTCTACGACATCCTCGTGGCGACGGACGCGTCCGTCGAGGCGACGGTGCGCGGCGACGACTCGGACGACGACGCGCCGGACATCGACGACGCCTCGGACGACGAGGACGCGCCGGAGAAGCGGAAGCGCGGCCAGAAAAAGGCCACCAAGGCGCCGAAGAAGTCGAAGGACGCCTTCGGCGTCGCCCGGGGCATCGATTTCCGGGACGTCAAGTGGGTGCTGAACGTGGACGTGCCCGCGACGCCGGAGTCTTATACGCACCGCGTCGGCCGCACCGCGCGCGCGGGCGCGCGCGGCACGGCGCTGAGCCTCGTCGTCGCCGACGACCCCCGGGGCGACGACGGCGCGCGGCTCGCGGCCATCCAGGCGGCGCAGCCGCCCATGAAGCTCGCGTCGCTCGCGGCGGGCGGCGCGTGCGCGGTGCTCGCGGCGCTCGACGTCGACGAGGCCGCGGCGCTCGGCGCGGGCGCGCACGTGCCCCAGCCGGCGCGCCTGGCCTTCGACGGCGGCGCCTGCGAGCCCTTCCGCTACCGCGTCTCCGACGTGCAGCGCGGCGTCACGGCCGCGTCCGTCCGCGACGCGCGCGCGGCCGAGCTCCGGAAGGAGATGCTCGACAGCGAGGCGCTCAAGGCCCACTTCTCCGACAACCCCGACGACCTCGCTGTGCTCCAGCAGACCAAGGCCGAGCACCACGTGCGCCGGGACCTCCTCGCGGCGACGATCAAGACCGTGCCGAGTTACCTCGTGCCCAAGGCCCTCGCCGCCGCGGGCGCGAAGCCGAAGCAGTCCTTCAAGCGCAAGAAGCGCTCCGAGAAGCGGTCCGGGGCGAAGCGCCAGCGCGGCGACGGCGCCGACGAGACGCGCCGCACGGACAACGACCCCCTCCAGTCCTTCGACGCGTCGGGCCTCGACGCCAAGGAGCCGCCGCGCGTCTTCGACTCGGGCGACCCGGAGCTCGACAAGAACGAGTCGACGTCGTCGCGCCGCGCGTGGCAGAAGAAGCACGGCAAGGGCGAGTTCGCCAAGAAGGCGCCCAAGCGCCTCAAGAAGTTCGCCAAGGACGCGGGCTTCCGCCAGAAGAAGTTCTGAGGCGAAGCTAAGGTCCTTTTCTCTGACGCCCCGGTCTCGCGGCATAGCCTGAAGCTGTCCTCCGAGTCAGACCTGGCCGCAGGCGCCTTGTAGTCACTATAGCTTAAGGGTCGAGGGTGGGGGACTGCGGGGATATCTTCGAACGGGGCTGGACACTTGGCGGCGGACGACGGGCGAGGCGCGTCGAGGCCTGGGCGCGGCGGCGGCGGCCTTGGGCGGCGGGGTGCGAACTCATTTCTTCGGGGCTGGACAGGCGGGCTGGACACTTGGCGGGCGAGGCGCGCCTAGGCCTTCTCGGGCGCGGCGGCGGCGGCGGCCTTGGGCGGCGGGGAGCCCTGCGTCGACTTGACGAACGCGACGCACGCGAACAACTTGGCGCCCACCGCGAGCGCGAGGCAGCAGATCACGTCGAGCAGGATCGTGTTCTTCGAGGAGAAGAGCGGGTAGATGATCTCGAGGCTGTCGAGGACGACGCGGCCGGAGCAGGATTTCGACGGGTCCTCGCCCTGGCAGTAGCAGAAGTCGCTGCCCTCGTCGTACTTGTCGCAGGCGTCCCAGGTGCCGTCGACGAACTCGGAGAAGGTGATGGAGCGGATCGCGTAGCCCAGGGGGAAGATCCAGTGGAGCGCGCGCAGCGGCCAGACGATGTCCTTCACGGGGATGAGGAAGCCGCCGTAGAGGAACGCGGAGAACCAGCAGCCGATGTACTGCGCCGCGCCGATCAGGGGGTTGTCGAAGGCGACGGCGAGCGCCGTCGCGAAGGCGTCCCAGCAGTACTGCTGCGCCATCCAGCAGAGGACCGTCGTCGCGAAGCGCGACGCCTGCCAGTTGGCGATGGCGTAGGCGGGGACGCCCACGGCCGCGAGCGCGAGGAAGACGACGAGGGGCAGCTCGAGCACGGACCGCGCCACGAGGTACGCCGCGGGCGACACGAGGCCGTTCTGCACCTCCGTGCGCACGAGGCGGCCCTCGAAGTTCAGCGCGAAGACGAGGAGGCACGTGATCTGCGACGGCACGGCCGTGAACCAAACATGGAGCCACATCTTGTTGAGCACCTGGTCCTGGTGCCGCTCGCGCGTCTTGATGTAGACGACCGCGAAGTACGCGTTGCCGAGCATGAAGCAGAGCGCGCGCGCGAAGAGCACGAGCGGGTCCCGCGAGAGGAGGAGCGCCTGGCGCCGCAGGAGCGGCGCGAGCTGGTTCGCGACGTTGGGCCGCGCGCCGTCGCCGTCGAGGTCCGCCTCGGCGCCCAGGGCCGCCAGATCCGACTCCGAGTCGCGCTTCTCCCGCGAGTCCGCCCACGCGTCGAGGAGCTCGTCGACTTCACTTTTATCCGCGAAATCCGCGTTCACGAGGTCCAGCAGGAAGTCCGCCGGGTTCGTGAGCTCGGGCATCTTGCGGCCCCGCGACGCGAAATAATCCACGGCCGCGGCCGCGGCGCCGCGGTAGGCCACGCGGCCCTCGCTCAGGAGCATGACGCCGTCGAAGGCGAGGTAGATGGCCGTCGACGGCTGGTGGATCGTGCACACGGCGATGAGCCGCTCCTGCTTGGCGAGCTCGCCGATGAAGGTCATCGTGTTCAGCGCCGCCGCGGCGTCGAGGCCTACCGAAGTGACGAGTTCCATCGTTTTTGCGGTCTCTCGAAAACCACAGACGCCGCGTCGAGGCCCGACGTCGGCTCGTCGAGGAACATGCAGATGGCGCGCTTCAGGAGCGCGAGCGCGAGCGAGAGGCGCCGCTTCTGGCCGCCGCTGAGGCCGCCGCCGGGCAGCATCTCGTGGCCCACGCGCGTGTCCGCGCACGACTCGAGGCCCATGCGCTTCAATATCTCGTCCACGCGGCCCTCCTCGACCTCGGCGCCCGCGGCGACGGCGAGGCGCCGCGCGAAGCAGAGCTGCTCGCGCGGCGTCAGCGTCGGCCAGAGCTCGTCGCGCTGGCCCACGGTGAAGCACGTCTTGCGGAACAACGAGTGCGTCAGCGGCTTGCCGCCGAGGCGCGTCGACCCGGACGCGTCGCCGCCGGACGCGCGGAGCGTGAGCACGTTCATGAGCGTCGTCTTGCCCGCGCCCGACGGGCCGAGGATCGCGAGCGTGTGGCCGGGCTCCGCCGTGCCGCTCACGGCGTCGAGCAAGAGCTTGGGCTTCTTCGATTTGCGGTCCTTAACCGTAAATGAGAGTTCGTGGAACGTGAGGGCGGCGCTCGGGGGGGCACCATTCTCGCGGGACATGGTCGAAGACTGTTGTTGTCTCGGTGCTCAGGGGGCGGCGGCGAGCTTCACGCGTTGACCTTCCTCGGCAGGTGAAGACCTTCGCTGGAGTTCTCGAGGAGGAGGAATCGAGCTCGAAGCGTGTTCGACGCCGCGCCCGAGGGGGTTGACCGCCGGTATGCCTGGTAGTCGACGCGAGCGTGAAAACACCAGGCAATAAAATTTTTTGGTGCATTGCCTCCGCGCCTGACGCTTCGCGTTGAAAGTTTTCATTAAACCATGTATCGCCTCCTCGTCCTCGTCGTCGCCATCGTCGGAGCCGCGAGCGAAGAGATTTTTGAGGCGGTCCGCGCGGTCGCTCGAGGCGATTCCGTCCTCGGCCTGCTGAACCAACAGAAGCAGCATTACGACGCCGCCATGGTCCTCTTGGCGATCTCCGAGGCCGTGCGCCTCGGCGCGCTCGACGAAGCCGACGCGCGCGACGTCCTGGACGCGACGCGGTACGAGCGCGAGGCGTTCGCGGCGGGGCACGACGACGACAATATGAAAATCTCGTTCGTGCGCGGCGACTACGACGGCCTCGCGGACGACGAGACGCGGGGCTCGCTCACGGGCAAGTCCGTCGGCGACCACCTGTCCATCACCGCGGGATTGCTCACCCCCTTGGTCTGGAACGACGCCGCGCTGTCCATCGATCGGGCCAAGAGCGTCGTCTTCGACCTGCAGTTCGTCGACGACGCGACGCTCGGCGGAAGCGACGACCTCAGCTTCCTCACCTCGACTCCAAACGGCCTGTCGTTCTACCGCCAGGTGACAAAGTACCGCACGCAGCGGAACTCGGGCGGAAGCACGGAGAGCGACGGCTGGAACCATCCGGATCGGTTCCGCGACGCGCACAAGGTGTGCTGGGAGGACGACGTCGCCATGGGCACCCTGACCGCCGCGATGCTCGTGGAGTACCATCTGGAAACGCTCGACGACGCCGAGCGCGGCCGCTTGGGCGACGTCCTCGCCGGGCTCGCGCGCGGCTACGACGACGTCTTCGGCGATCTCCGCCACGCGTACGACGCGACGCTCGGCGAGGCGTCGCCGATGCGGTGGACGCGGAGCCTCGGCTGGGGCGTCTACGGCCTCGCGCTCATGCGGCGCACGCTCGCGGCGCTCGGCCGCGACGACGACGCGGCCGCGGCCGCGGGCGTCGTCGCGCACCACCTCGAGACCATCGTCGGATGGCAGGGAGCGGAAGGTCTCTGGTGGCAGAACCCGAACGGCGACGTCGACGGCCTCTCGGGCGCGCCGTCGGACGACGGCGACGTGAACTTCGTCGAGACGTCGGGCTCGGCGCTCATCCTCGCGGCTATGGGCGAGCTCGCGGCGGTCGGCGCGCTGCCGGCGACCGCGGCCGGCGCCTTCGACGACGGCATCCGCGGGCTCCTCGCGTACGTCGACGGCGACGGCGACATCCCCAACTGCGGCAAGGGCACGAGCATCGGCGCGGAGGCGTCCTACTACTACTCCCGCGGCGTCGACGACCCCGACGGCTGCAGCAAGGCGGGCCTGGTGCTCTTGGCGCTCGCGCACGCGGCCGCCCGGCCGACGTCCGCGCCGACGCCGCGCCCGACGCCGCGCCCGACGCCGCGCCCGACGACGTCCGCGCCGAGCGCCGCGCCGACGACGCCCGCGCCGAGCCCCGCGCCGACGACGCGCCCGACGCCGCGCCCGACGACAATCTCGCCGAGCGCCGCGCCGACGGCCGAGGAGTCCGACGGAGGCTCCGCGCTCGTCGCGACGGCCGCCGTCGCCGCCGCGGCGATGATGGTCTCCCTAGTTACCTACTAGAGAAGTAGGCCACGTCCCTTACACATTTGACGCCGCGGCGATGGTCTCTCTACTAGTAGTCATCTAATGGCCCGTATTAGCTCTGGCGCGCTCAAAGATCCCCGGGCGTCGCGAAGGTGTTAGGGGTGCGCGGATCTCGCAGAAATTAACGGCCGCAGCACTTCTTGTACTTGCGGCCGCTGCCGCAAGGGCACGGATCATTGCGTCCGACGACCGCGGGCACGTCCTGGCGAATCTCCGGGAATTCGTGAGCCTCCGCAGCTCGGGGTCCGAATTCCAAGCGGCAGGCGCCTCCGATGCACTGGCGGCATCGTTCGCACGTCGGCCGCGGCGCCGCGCAGTGATCCGTCGAGATGGCTATCAACTGCCCGCGCACGAGTTCAAAGTCCGCGAGAGTACCCGTCTCCATGGCTTCGAAATCGGCGGCGGCTAAACCGGCAAGCTCTTCGAGAGAACGTATCGTCGCCCCCCTCGAGGTTGTGAGCAATTGAGCAGCCAGCGGGACTCCGAAGCGGTCTCGGATCTTTCGCTTCACGTCGTCCGCGGAATCGTCGTAGCGCACGCAGAGCGGGAACCATACATGGCCCTCAAGAGCACAAGAGAACCACAAAACGGCCGCGATCCAGGTCGCCTCGCCGCGATACTTCCGGGCGATGCCGTGTGCGCCGCAAAACTGCTTGTGCGAGACCCAGTGCTTCCTCTGGCACTCAGGAGAACAGTAGTACGCCGCGTGGCAACACTCGCACATCTTCTTCGCGTCGGCGAAACGTTTCCACGGTGCGGGTACGTCATGATACGCCGCGGACGCACACCTCAACTCGCAGATCCGACGATTCAGTCCCTTGAGCACCCCCATCTCCTGAAAATCTTCATCCAAAACCAAATGGGCACCACAGTTATCAAATACCGAAACCTCGTGAGCGTCGGGGTCGTCTCGCTTTGCCCGATTAATTGCGACATGTGAAGCAGCAAAAGATGCGAGTCCTTCCGGGCTCATGCGGTCAGGGGTCAATGTATGGTTACTGCCGATTAAGTCATGAGCAAACTTCGTGCACATCGTGCCCGTCTCTCCTCTGTATCAGCTCAGCTTTGTGCCAACTTGTGGCGACTCCGCACTGCGCCAGGACGCCGCCGTCCACTGGCGCCTCCCGCGCCTGTGAGACCCCTCTGAGCCTCCCGTCCCCCGCGGTTCCTCCCGGGCCCCCTACGTTTAGAGACGCGTCAAGGCGACTCCGCACTTGAGCATCCATGTAGGCCTCCATAAGTTGGCATAACGAGTATCTGTGCATGGCGCAAATGCTCGCGTGAAACAACATGGTGCAAGCCAAGAGCCCTAAACCACATCCCTAAGAACGCCCCTCAGCCGCCCACGACGGCCTGCACGACCGCGCGTTCCTGGGTCTTGTGGAACCGGCAGAGCCGCGCGAGGAGCGGCGGCGCGCCGTCGACCCCGCACGCGCGGTCGACGGCCGCGCCGAGCGCCGCGAGGAGCCGCGCCTCGGCGGCGACGGGGAAGCCGCCGCCGCACTTGCGGTCGACGGCCGCGACGGCGGCCGCGTGCGCGGCGACGGCGCCCCGGTAGAGCGCCCCGTCGAGCGCGAGCGAGGCCGCCGGCGCCGGGGGCGCCGCGTCGGACGGCCCCCGCCCGCTCCCCCGCCGCTTCGTCGCGCCGACGGCCAGCGGGAGCGCGTCGAGGAGCGACCAGCGGAGCCGCCGCCGCGCGACGGCGAGCGACGCGTGGAGGTCCTCGACGAAAAGGACGTGGACGCCGGCGGCGTCGAGGGGCGCGCCCCGGAGGTGCGCCTCGACGAAGCTCTCGACGTCGCCCGGTGTGAGGAGCCGGAGGTCCTTCGCGAGCGGGTTCCAGCGGTCGCGCGCGCCCGCGTACCAGCGCCGCGTGTGGTTGTAGTACGCGAGCAGCGAACCGAGGTGGCCCGCGGGCTCGCGCCTGCGACGAAGGGGCGCGTCGGACGGGACGCGCCGGAGCGACGAAGGGGCGCGTCGGAGGGACGCCCGGGAAGCGGACGCCGGCGCCGCGCAGCGGCAGCAGGAACGCGACGTCGTTTCCCATCAATTCGCGGCAGAGGCGGAAGAAGCCGTCGACCCAGGGCCCGCGCTCCCCGCACGGCGCGCGCTTCTTCGTCCACCAGTCCTTGATGGGGAAGACGTGGCGGAGCGCGACGTCCGCGCGGCGGCCGCGGAGCGCCTTCCGGAGCGCCTCGGGGCACATGCCCTCCCGCCAGAACTTGCCCGGCCACGCGGCGGCCGCGGGCCTCAGGCCCAGGCGTAACGCGACGCGCGCGACGAGGGCCTGGAGCGTGCCCGACCTGGGCGGGAAAAGAGTGCGAAATTCCCAACTTTGGAGGCTCCTCTCTCGGTCGTTTTCCACTCGTCTCGGCTAATTTTTAGACGAGCGATCATCTCTCGGAGCGCTGTGGATGCTTTTCCCAGAACGCGCGCGCGCGGAACACTCATGTTGAAGCGAACTTGAATCACTCTTTTCCTGCCCTGTGCCCGACGCCGTCTTGTGCGTCTTGACGAGCGCGACGCGGCGGTGCGCGCGCGCGTGGGCGCTCGCGGCGACCGCGGCCTCGAGGACGCGCTCCACGGCCGCGGTCGACGCGTTCGCGCCGAGCTTTTCGACGCGCGCGGCGACGTCGGCGACGTCGGCGCCTGGGCACTCGAGGCCCGTGGCGGCGGCGGCGGCGGCGAGGACCGCGACGAAGCGGCGCATCTACGGCGACAGGAAGGCGACGCGCACGGTCGCGCAGACGGCGACCGTGGCGACGAAGCCGAGCTGCAGCGCGAAGCGGCACACGACGATGCAGCCGCTGATGGCCACGATGCGCGCGCCCTTGCGCCGGAAGATGGGCAGCCGCACGACGACGAGGTGCTCGAGCATGAACGTACGACGAAACGAGCACACGGTGCGATGCTCGTACGTTAACCGAGCATCACCGGAGAGGTATTACAAAAATCATGCCCCATCGAGAAGCGCGTCAATGGCGCGGCTCCGTGCCGGAAAGATCCGCGCAAAAGCGGCGCTGTTGCTAGCGGGCAGCATCAGGACGGCGCTGGTCGCAGCCCCGGACCTGCGACATGGCGCAGGCGCCGCCCCGCGACGGCCCGCGGCTGCGCGCGCTGGACCAGCGGTCGCTGCTCAAGGTGAGCATGAAGAGCCGGCGCGAGCAGATGAAGGATAACCGCGACAAGGCCTACGCGTCGCGCGGCAAGAAGAAGCTGCGCGGCATGCTGCGCGCCGCGGCGCACCAGGTCAAGTACACGCACGACGACCGCAGCGAGCTCGTGCGGCTCCTCGAGGAGGGCCAGGACCCGGCGTCCATCGTCGGCCCCCTCGGCGCCTTCAGAGAGCTGCCGCCGCGCGTCGCGTCCGCGTCGGACCTCCTGCGGTCCTACGGCGTGGACCAAACCGCAAAGCCGCTCCACCGGTCCCAGTCGCTCCGCCAGTACGATTTAGGCGCCGACGACGCGGCGGCGCTCGGGTCCGCGGCCGCGCGCGCGCGCGCGGCCGCGGCGGCCGCGCACTACGTGACGCCGACGGACCGCATCGCGCGGCTCTACACGCCGACGGCGGCGACGCTGACCATGCGCGACGCGACGGCCGTGAGTCGCGCCATGATGGGCCGCCACGGCGGGCCGCAGCTCGCGCCCGCGCGCGAGCGCGAGCGCGCCGCGCTCACGGGACTCCCCGAGAGTTTGAGGCCGACGTGGGCGACGCACTCGCTCGGCGCCAAGGCCCGCGACGACGCGCTGACGCGCGTCGCCCGCGTGGCGCCGGCGGCCTACCACGCCGCCGCGCGCACGGCCGCCGGCGGCTTCGGCGAGTCCATGAGCCTCGACGAGTCGTCGGACGGCGACGCGCGCTCCGGACTCGACGACGCGCCGGGCGCGCCCCAGGTGTCCATCGTCGACGAGGCGCCCCGGGACGCCGAACCGGCGCCGAAGCCGGCGCCCGCCACGCCGACGTCGCCCTCGAAGCGGCGCCAGCTCGCGCGCGAGAGGCGCGGCGCGGGCGCGGCGCGGTCCGCCGTGTCGCCGTCGGCCGCGCCGGCGACGACCGCGACGTCCTTCGACGCGGAGCTCTGGAACCCGGGCGCCCGGCTTCCCGGTAATGCGGGCGACGACGCATCCGTGTCCAGCGTCGCCGACGCGCCGCGGGAGGCCGCGCGGTACCAGGAGGCCGTCGAGAACTACTGGGCGCGCGTCCGCGCGCTCGTGCACCGCGGCGCCGCGCACGCCGCGGGCGCGGGGAAAAGACGAGCTTTAGCCCAGCTCCCCGACGCCTGGCTCGGGGGCATCGCGGGCCGCGTCGCGCCGCCGAAGGCGCTGCTGCGGGAACGGGCCAAGGTGCTGCGCGCGCGGCAGACGGTCCGCGCGCGCGAGGGCGGCCCCGACGGCGACCAGGTCGGCGAGCTCGCGCTGGAGAAGTCCATCGACCACTTTCTGGAGGGCCATCTGGACGACGGCGTCGAGGACCAGAACGACCACTGGTCCTTCTCCGCCGTGGAGCGCGCGGAGCGCGTCGCGGACGAGGCCTTGGAGGAGAGCCGCCTGGGCTTCGCGGACGGCGTCGCGCGGGCCATGGTCGACTACGAGATGCGCGACGCGAACCTCGTGGGGCTTTTGGACATCGACCCGGCGCACCTGCGGGCGGCGCCGCGGTGGTGGACGTCCGTGGAGCACCGGACCTACGAGTGGCGCGTCCTGCGGAAGACGGGCGTCGCGAGGAGGCGCGTGCACCGGGCCTTCTACGCGGCGGCGACGCAGCTGCGGGTCGTCGAGCGCGTCATGTACGAGCTCCACGAGGCCTGGCTGCTGCCGCGGCAGCCCGCGGCCTTCGGCGCCGCCGCGGCGCCGGCCGCGGCGCCGCCGGCCATCGCGCAGAGCGGCGAGGCGGCGAAGGACGACGACGACGACGCGGAGGGCGACGACGACGACGAGGAATTAGGGAACGGGCGGCGCCTCTCCGTGCGCCACGCGCCCAAGCTCCGGCGGGACTCGCAGGCCGCGTCGGGCATCATCACGGCCGCGGCCATGGCCGAGACGGCGAGCCACCACCACGAGACGTCGCGGCCGCCCTTTTCCACGGTGCTGCTGACGGACGTGCCGTCGACGGGCTTCCGGCGGCGCCTGCCGCTGACGCTGGACGTGTTCTGCACGCACGTGGAGCGGCACGCGGGCGCGGTGCGAGATTCGCTCAAGGAGGACTGGCTCGCGGTGTCGGCGCTGCTCCTGGGCGCGCACCTCCAGCGGCCGCGCGAGAGCGCGTTCAAGGACGCGTCGCGGTTCTTGGAGGGCCTCGGCGCGGCGCCGCCCTTCGGCGTCTCGAGCGACGTGCCCGCGTCGCTGGCCGCGGCCGCGCGGCACCACCTCATCGCGCCCGAGGACGCGGACGCGTTCCAGGAGGCGGGCGACGGCGATTCGGCCGCGGACGAGTTCGACGCGTGGTTCACGGAGACGTACGGCGCGGCCGCGACGGGCGCGCCGCCCGCGGAGCGCTTCGACGCGCGGCCCGCGAAGCCCCGCAAGGCGCCCGCGGCGGCGCTCGCCGTCGACGGCGCGGCGGCCGCGCCGTCGCCGTCGGCGCTCCGGGCCCGGTCCGTCCTCGGCTGCGCGTCTGCTCTAATGTCGCGCCAGCTCCGGTCGCTCTGCGAGGAGTCGCTGGACCACTTCGTCGCCTTCTTCGAGCGCTTCGACGGCGCCATCGCGAAGCTCACGGACGAGGCGGCCTTCGAGCTGGGGTTAAGGCTCGACGAGCTCTACGCGAACGAGGACGCGCAGGCGGTCCGGAAGCGGCACGTCGTCGTTTTGGAGCCGTCGCTCGAGCGGCTCCAGGAGCACTGCTGCGACTGCATCGAGTCGATCATCCGCGCGGCCCAGCGCTTCCCGCGCGTCGACGTGTCCGCCGCGCTCGGCGCGGGCGGCCCCGCGTCTCCGGCGAAGGACGCGCCCGCGGCGACGACGCTGCCCGTGCTCGGCGTGCTCGACACGGAGGAGGACGGCTCGTCGGCGGCGTCGGGCGACGCCGAGAGCGCGGGCGACGGCGGCGCCGCCGCGGCGGCGGCGGCGCCGCGGGAGACGGTCCTGGAGGCGCACCACCGGTCGCCCGACGAGTTTCTGGGGCCCGCGACGATCGCGTCCGAGGACGAGTGCGTCGTCATGGCCAAGGCCCGCGTGTCCGCGGCGCTGGCGCGGCGCTTCGAGGCGCCGTCGGCGCTCGTGCCCCTCTTCGAGGATTTCGGGGTTTTGCTGGACGGGACCTTGGCGGACCGCGTGCGGGCCGCGATCCACGAGGCGCGGCGCGTGCCCCCGCCGGACGGCCAGCAGGTCGAGATCGACGCCACGGAGGCGTCCCTGACGGAGCTCTCGAAGATGAACGACGAGCTCAGCGCCCTCGCGGACCGCATCCGCGGCGTCACGGGCGACTTGGTCGACAGCGCGATGTTCCGCGTGCAGACGGCCGAGGCCAAGGAGCTGCTCGCGGCCAAGGCCGACGCGCTCAACCTGTCCATCACGGAGAGCGTCGCCGCGGACAACCGGGAGCACATGCAGGACGTCTGCCGCAAGTACCAGAACATCGCGGACCAGTTGGTCGACGAGCCGACGACGTCCGCGGAGCTGCGGACGCTCAAGGAGTTCAGCGAGCAGGCCATCGACATGCTCAAGGGCCTCGAGCACGAGTACAAGGAGGAGATCCTCCAGCGCGAGAAGTTTCTCCTCGCGCGGGGCTACCGGTCGTCCAAGGAGGACCTCGCGGCGATCTGCACGACGTTCAACTGGCCCAAGTCCATGGAGGCCTACCTCAACCGGAGCGACGAGCTCCAGGAGAACCGGAAGAAGCACCTCAAGATGGTCGTCGAGGGCCAGCGCGAGCAGCTCGGCCGCGAGGTCGCGTCGCTGGAGAAGAAGGTCGAGAAGCTCGCGGAGACGGGCTCGCTCGCGCCGAACGAGGTCCAGATGGTCACGCGGCGCGTCCAGGCCATCCGCGAGGGTTTGGACAACGCCCAGAAGGAGTCGGAGATCGTCGTCGCCCAGGAGGACCTGCTCGAGCTGCAGCCCACGGACCACGAGGCGCGCCTCGCCGTCGTCGCCAAGGAGCTGAGCCCGCTCGACAAGCTCTGGACCATCGCGCGCGAGTGGGTCGAGCGGTCCCACGCCTGGCACGAGCTGCCGCTCACGGAGGTCGACGCCGAGGACGCCGCGGCGCGCGCCGCGGAGTACGGCACGACGCTGAACCGCGTCGTGAAATTGCTCGAGAAGAAGGGGCCGTCGCGCGACCCCGCGCGCCGCGCGTGCAAGCTCCTCATCCAGGAGGCCGCGGCCTTCGAGCAGGACGAGATCCCGCTCATGCGCCTCGTCTGCGAGCCGGGCATGCAGCAGCGCCACTGGGACGAGATCAAGCGCACGACGCGGCTCAACTTCGACGTGTCGCCCGCGACGAACGTGCTCCAGCTCATGGACGTGGGGTTGAACCACTACGTGCACCTCATCGAGGACACGTGCGTCGCCGCGTCCAAGGAGGCGGCGCTGGACAAGGCCCTCGTGAAGATGGAGGCGGCCTGGGGCTCCGCGATCTTCGCGACGAAGGAGTGGCGCACGGGGCGGATCCTGGCGGGCATCGACGAGATCCAGCAGGAGCTCGACGACCAGATCGTCAAGACCCAGGCCATGCACGGGTCGCGCTACGTCAAGCCCTTCCTGGGGCGCGTCGAGGCCTGGGAGCACACGCTGACGTCGCTCCAGGACATCATCGACAACTGGCTCAAGGTCCAGGCCGCGTGGCTCTACCTCGAGCCCATCTTCTCCAGCGACGACATCACGCGCCAGATGCCGACGGAGGCGAGCTTGTTTACCACCGTGAACCAGGTCTGGATCGACTCCATGGCCGAGACGGCCGCGGACCCCGCGGTGCTGTCCGTCGCGACGCGGCCGGGGCTGCTGGACGCGCTCGTCGACGCGAACGAGAAGCTCGAGACGATCCAGAAGGGGTTGAACGACTACTTGGAAACAAAACGCCTCGCGTTCCCGCGCTTCTTCTTCCTCTCCAACGACGAGCTCCTCGAGATCCTCGCGGAGACGAAGGACCCGACGCGCGTGCAGCCGCACCTGAAGAAATGCTTCGACGGCGTCGCGAATCTGGAATTTACGAAGAACCTCGACATCATGGCCTGCCTCGACGCCCCGGCCCCCAAGGGCGAGCGTTTGGAATTTGCCTACGACGCCTGCAACCACAAGATGATCAACCCCAAGGACTCGGGGGGCAACGTCGAGAAGTGGCTCGTCGAAGTGGAAGCGATCATGAAGAAGTCGCTGGCCAACGCCATCGACGAGGCCGTCGTCGACTTCGAGAAGAACGACCGCAAGTCCTGGCTCGCGGCCTGGCAGGGCCAGGTCGTCCTCACGGTGAACCAGATCACCTGGGGCCAGCTCACCGAGGCCGCGATCAACCGGGGCAAGCACGCGCTCGCGGAGCTCCACGGCAAGCGCGTCGACGAGCTCATGGACGTCGTCGAGCAGGTCCGGGGCAACATCCCCAAGGCGCTGCGGTCGACGCTCGGGGCCCTCGTCGTCATGGACGTGCACAACCGCGACATCACGGACGAGCTCGCCAAGTCGACGATCTCCTCGCCGCTCGACTTCGACTGGCAGGCCCAGCTGCGCTACTACTGGGAGGAGGGCGGCGCGTCGGCCCAGTCCGGCACGCCGGGCACGATCCCCTGCCGCATGATCAACGCCATGATCCTCTACGCGTACGAGTACATCGGCAACTGCGGCCGCCTCGTCATCACGCCGCTCACGGACCGCTGCTACCGCACGCTCATGGGCGCCATCCACCTGAATCTCGGCGGCGCGCCCGAGGGGCCCGCGGGCACGGGCAAGACGGAGACCACGAAGGACCTGGGCAAGGCCATCGCGATCCAGTGCGTCGTCACGAACTGCTCCGACGGCCTCGACTACAAGGCCATGGGCAAGTTCTTCAAGGGGTTGGCCGCGTCGGGCGCCTGGGCCTGCTTCGACGAGTTCAACCGCATCCAGCTCGAGGTGCTCTCGGTCATCGCGCAGCAGGTGCTCACGATCCAGCAGGCCAAGGCCCGGAAGGCGGAGCGGTTCATGTTCGAGGGCACGGACCTGCCGCTGAAGCCGACGTGCTGCCCCTTCATCACGATGAACCCGGGCTACGCCGGCCGCGCGGAGCTGCCGGACAACCTGAAGGTGCTGTTCCGCACGGTCGCGATGATGGTGCCCGACTACGGCATGATCGGCGAGATTTTGCTGTATTCCATGGGCTACACGGACGCCAAGGCCATGGCCATCAAGATCGTCACGACCTACAAGCTCTGCAGCGAGCAGCTGAGCGCCCAGTCCCACTACGACTACGGCATGCGCGCGGTCATGGCCGTGCTCCGCGCCGCGGGCAACCTGAAGCGCGCCGAGGGCCACCTCCCGGAGGACGTGCTCGTGCTGCGGTCCATCATCGACGTCAACCTGCCCAAGTTCCTCTCGCCGGACGTGCCCCTCTTCGGCGGCATCACGTCGGACCTCTTCCCGGGCGTCGAGCTGCCCGTGCCGGACCGCGACGCGATGGAGCTCGCGTTCAAGGAGTCGTGCGCTTCCCGAAATTTACAGCCGACCAAGTACTTCTGGGAGAAGGTCGTCCAGATCTACGACATGATGGTCGTGCGCCACGGCTTCATGATCGTCGGCATGCCCTTCTCGGGGAAGACGTCGGCCTGGAAGGTCCTCGCGGACACGCTCGGGTCGCTCCACGACCGATACCCCGACGACGCGCGCTGGACGCAGGTCGTGCCCTTCCTCATGAACCCCAAGTCCATCACCATGGGCCAGCTCTACGGCCAGTTTGACGACGTGAGCCACGAGTGGACCGACGGCGTGCTCGCGATCAACTACCGCAACGCGGCCACGTCGAAGGTCGGCAACGCGGAGGACCGCAAGTGGGTGCTCTTGGACGGCCCCGTGGACGCGATCTGGATCGAGAACATGAACACGGTGCTCGACGACAACAAGAAGCTCTGCCTGATGTCCGGCGAGATCATCGCGATGTCGGATGTCATGTCCATGATCTTCGAACCCATGGATCTGCTTGTCGCGTCGCCCGCGACCGTCTCCCGGTGCGGCATGGTCTACATGGAGCCGGAGCAGCTCGGGCTCCGGCCCCTCTTCGACTCCTGGCTCGTCACCTTCGCCGTGAAGCCGCCGCCGGCCGAGGGCGAGGACGCGCCGGCCGCGCCCTTCGAGCTCACGGACGCGGAGCGGGAGCTGCTCACGGGTTTGTACCTCTGGCTCGTGGAGCCCGCGATGGCCTTCCTGCGGCGCTCCTGCAAGGAGATGTCGCCGACGGTCGACAGCGCCCTCCTGTCGTCGCTGCTGAACTTCCTCGAGTGCGTGCTGACGGCCGCGATCCCGGGCAAGCACGACGTCGCGGACGACGCGTCGCATTTGGAGGGCGGCAGCCGCAAAAAGCACGTCGAGTGCGCCTTCCTCTTCGCGCTCATCTGGTCCAGCGGCGTCACGGCCGACAACGCGGGCCGGGCCAAGTACAGCGCCTTCGTCCGCGAGATCATGGAGAGCGTGGACGTGCTCGACGACGCGCGCTACCAGGGCGTGACGAATGCGCTGGCCGTCCGCGGCTGGAAGCGCCCGAAGTTCGCCGAGGCCGAGGAGGGCGAGTTCGACGGCAAGGTCGAGTGTGGCCCGCCGGCCGACGGCGACCTGCAGGACTGGTGCTACGACCCGCGCGGCGGCAAGTGGGTCAACTGGGTCGACACGTTGGAAAAGTTCGAGATCGCCGCGGACCAGGAGTTCTCGACGATCATGGTGCCGACGGCCTGCACGGCGCAGCTCTCCTACATGGTGCAGACGCTGCTGACGCACGGCTTCCGGCCCCTGGTCTGCGGGCCCACGGGCACGGGCAAGTCCGTCTGCGTCACGAAGACGCTGACCGCGGAGCTCGACCAGGACAAGTTCAAGCCGCTCCAGCTCGGCTTCAGCGCCAAGACGACGGCGGAGATGACCCAGGGCATCATCGACGGCCAGCTGGGGAAGCGGCGCAAGGGCGTCTTCGGCCCGCCCATGGGCCAGACGGCGCTCGTGTTCGTCGACGACCTGAACATGCCCGAGGTGGAGACGTACGGCGCGCAGCCGCCCATCGAGCTGCTGCGGCAGCTCGTCGACTCGGGGGGCTACTACGACCTCAAGGAGAAGTCGTGGAACACGATCGTCGACACGATCGTCACCTGCGCGATGGGCCCGCCGGGCGGCGGGCGCAACGGCACGACGCCGCGGTTCCTGCGCCACTTCCACCTCTTGTGCGTCGACGGCTTCGACGACACGACGCTCTCGCTCATCTTCAACACCATCGTGAACCACGCCTTCAAGCAGGACTACGCGTCGGACGTCGCGGGCTGCGCGGACCAGGTCGTCAACAGGGCAGGACAAGAGAGCGAAATTCCCAACTTCAAAGGCTCCTTTCTCGGCCGCTTTCCACTCGTTTCGGCTGATTTTTGGACGAGCGATCATCTCTCGGAACGGTCTCGAAGCGTGGACGCTTTTATCGGAACGCGCGCGCGCGGAACACTCACGTCGAAGCGACGTTGAATCTCTCTTGTGCTGCCCAGGTCGTCAAGGCGACGATGGCGACGTACCGCGACGCGATGCGGTGCCTGCTCCCGACGCCCTCCAAGTCGCACTACACCTTCAATCTGCGCGACTTCAGCCGCGTGATCCAGGGCGTGCTCATGCAGAAGCCCTCCGACGAGTTCCAGGACCGCGCGGCGGTCATGCGCTTGTGGACGCACGAGGCGCTCCGCGTCTTCGGCGATCGCCTCACGGACGACCCGGACCGCACGTGGTTCGTGGGCCACGCGAAACAGGTCTGCGGCGACATTTTCCGGGAGGATTTCGAGGAATCCTTCGGCGCTCTAAAGCCCGAGGACGCGAAAGAGGTGAACTACGCGACTTTGCGGCGCCTCTTCTTCGGCGAGTTCATGACGCCCGCGGACGAGGACGAGCGGCCCTACGCGGAGATCTCCGATCTGAAGGCGCTCCAGGAGAAGACGGACGAGTATCTGGCGTCCTTCAACTCGAATTCCAAGAAGCCCATGGATCTGGTCATGTTCATGTTCGCCATCGAGCACGTGTCGCGCATCTCGCGGATCCTGCGCATGCCCGGGGGCAACGCGCTGCTCGTGGGCGTCGGCGGCAGCGGCCGCCAGTCGCTTTCGATCCTGGCGACGGAGATGGCGGGCTACGCCCTCTTCCGCATCGAGATCACCAAGTCCTACGGCATGGTCGAGTGGCGCGAGGACCTGAAGACCGTATTAAAGGAGGCGGGCAGCGGCGAGCGGCCCGTCGTCTTCCTGTTCTCGGACACGCAGATCAACCGCGAGGCCTTCGTCGAGGACATCAACAACATGCTCAACAGCGGCGAGGTGCCCAACATCTTCCCCAACGACGAGAAGGTCGCCATCTGCGAGGCCGTGCGGCCCTACGCGAAGGAGCAGTTCGGCCGCGCGGCCGCGGACATGACGCCGCTCCAGCTCTACGCCTACTTCATCCAGCGCGTCAAGCAGTACCTCCACATCGTCCTCGCCTTCAGCCCCATCGGCTCGGCCTTCCGCGACCGGCTCCGCCTCTTCCCGTCGCTCGTGAACTGCTGCGCGATCGACTGGTTCACGGCCTGGCCCGGCGACTCGCTGCTCGCCGTCGCGGAGAAGTTTTTAGCGGACGTGCAGCTCGACGCGTCCGTGCGGCCCCACATCGTCGACATGTGCATGTACTTCCACCAGCAGTCGAACGCGCTCGCCGCGGAGTTTTTAGCGTCCACGGGCCGCATCACCTACGTGACGCCGACGTCCTACCTCGAGCTCATCGTCGCCTTCAAGGGCGCGCTGGGGCTCCAGCGCGACAAGGTCTCGGGCCAGCGGGACCGCTACAAGAACGGCCTGGGGCAGCTGGCGAACGCGGAGAAGAACGTCGCGACGATGCAGCAGGAGCTCACGGACCTGCAGCCCGTGCTCAAGCAGTCCCAGAAGGACACGGACGCGCTCATGGAGGAGATCGAGGAGAAGCTGCCCGGCGTGCGGGAGCAGGAGGAGAAGGTCGGCGCGGAGGCCGCGGTCGCGCAGAAGGAGGCCGACGAGGTGCAGATCCAGGTCGACTCGGTCCAGGCGGACCTCGACGAGGCGCTGCCCGCCCTCGAGAGCGCCATCCAGGCCCTCAACACGATCAAGCCCTCGGACATCAACGAGGTCAAGGCCCTCGCGAAGCCGCCGGCGACCGTGAAGCTCGTGTGCGAGGCCGTCTGCGTCATGCTCGCGGAGAAGCCCCAGCGCATCCCGGACCCCGACGACCCGTCGAAGCGCATCATGGACTACTGGGGCCCCAGTCAGAAGATGCTCGCGGACAAGGAGTTCATCGCGCGGCTCAAGACCTACGACAAGGACAACATCGCGCCGAAGATCATCAAGTCCATCAAGGACAAGTACATGGCCCAGGCCAACTTCACGCCCGAGGCCGCCGCCAAGGCGTCGTCGGCCGCCGCGGGTTTGTGCAAGTGGGTCTACGCCATGGAGACCTACGACCGCGTCGCCAAGGTCGTCGCCTGTGTGGAATTCAACCACTGGTTTGGGGGGTCCCCACCCAACTTCAGAACTCTCTAGCTCGGCCAAATCGAAGTCGATTCGGCTGATTTTTGGACGGATCGATTGCTCTCGTCGAGTTCTCGAAGCACAGCCGAAGAGATTGCGTCGAAACTGTCGCGTACGCGCACATTGAAGTCGGGTTGAATATTTGGTTTCCACACAGGTCGTCGCGCCGAAGAAGGAGTCGCTCGCGAAGGCGCAGGCGTCGCTCGCGGTGACCATGGGCGAGCTCGACGAGAAGAAGGCGAGCCTCAAGATCGTCCAGGACGACCTGCAGAAGCTCCAGGACAACCTCGAGGCCGCGGAGCGCAAGAAGGAGGACCTCGTGAACCAGGTCGACCTGTGCGGGAAGAAGCTCGTAAGAGCGAAGCAGCTCATCGAGTCCCTCGGCGGCGAGAAGTCGAAATGGGGCGTCTTCGTCGAGGAGCTCACGGAGGCCTACGAGAAGCTGACGGGCGACGTCCTCGTGAGCGCGGGCTTGATGGCCTACCTGGGTCCGTTCACGTCGACGTACCGCATGAAACAGATGGCCGAGTGGGTCGCGACGTGCCAGGAGCTCAACATCCCCTGCAGCGCCAAGCCGAGCCTCGCGCGGACTTTGGGCGACCCCGTGCTCATCCGCCAGTGGAACATCGAGGGGTTGCCCACGGACGACTTTTCCATCGACAACGCGATCATCGTCTTCAACGCGCGGCGCTGGCCGTTGATGATCGACCCCCAGGGCCAGGCGAACAAGTGGGTGCGCAACATGGAGGGCCCGAACAAGCTCCAGGTCCTGAAGCAGACGGGCGAGTACATGCGGTCCATGGAGTCCGCGATCCAGTTCGGCTTCCCGGTGTTGCTCGAGGACGTCGGCGAGACGCTCGACGCGACGCTCGAGCCCCTCTTACTCAAGCAGATCTTCAAGCAGGGCGGCGTCGACAGCATCCGGCTCGGCGATTCGACCATCGAGTACAGCGAGCACTTCCGTTTCTATATCTGCACGAAGCTGCGGAACCCGCACTACGTGCCCGAGATCTCCGTCAAGGTCACGCTGCTGAATTTCATGATCACGCCCCAGGGCCTCCAGGACCAGCTGCTGGGCGTCGTCGTCGCCCAGGAGCGCAGCGACCTCGAGCAGAAGAAGAACGAGCTCGTGCTCGAGGGCGCGGAGAATAAAAGGAAGCTCAAGGAGATCGAGGACCAGATCCTGGAGATCCTGGCGGGCAAGGGCAACATCTTGGAGAACGAGAGCGCCATCGCGACGCTGAACCAGTCCAAGGTCACGTCCGACGACATCAAGGGCAAGCAGGTCGTCGCGGAGAAGACGGAGACCGAGATCGACGAGACGCGCAAGGGCTACACGTCCGTCGCGTACTCGACGCAGGTCCTGTTCTTCTGCATCACCGATTTGAACAACATCGAGCCGACCTACTCCTATTCTTTGGAGTGGTTCATCAACCTCTTCATCCGGTCCATCCGCAACTCGGAGCCGTCGAACGACGTGCCGACGCGGCTCGACAACCTCAGCGGCCATTTCACGTATTCCCTCTACACGAACGTGTGCCGGTCGCTGCTCGAGAAGGACAAGCTGCTGTTTAGTTTCGTGCTGGCCATCCGCATCCTGGGCGGGCGGGGCGACGTCGACTCCGCGGAGTGGCTCTTTTTGCTCACGGGCGGCGTGTCGCTCGACAACCCGCACGCGAACCCCTGCGGCGACTGGCTCGCGCCGAAGCAGTGGAACGAGATCTGCCTGTTGAGCGACATCCCGGCCTTCGCGGGGCTCCGGGACAACTTCGAGCCGCTGAAGAAGCAGTGGAAGGCCGTCTACGACGGCAACGCGCCGCAGGACGCGGCGCTGCCGGGGCCCTGGGAGAAGCTCGAGGGCCTGAAGCGGCTCTGCGTGCTGCGCTGCATCCGGCCGGACAAGGTCGTGTTGGGCATCCAGAAGTTCGTCATCTCGGTGATGGGCGAGAAGTTCGTGCGGCCGCCGCCGTTCGACCTGCAGGCGTGCTACGACGAGTCCGTGTGCACGTCGCCGCTGGTCTTCGTGCTCTCGCCGGGGTCGGACCCCATGGGCGCCGTGCTCCAGGCCGCGGAGACGCTGGAGCGGGCCGTGGCGCCCATCTCGCTGGGCCAGGGCCAGGGGCCCGTCGCGGAGAAGTTGATCGAGAAGGCCAAGACCGAGGGCTCGTGGGTCGTGCTCCAGAACTGCCACCTCGCCCAGTCCTTCATGGGCCGCTTCGAGGAGCTCTGCGAGGCGCTGAGCCCGGACAACGCCCACGAGAACTTTCGGCTGTGGTGCACGACGTACCCGTCGCCCATCTTCCCGACGTCCGTGCTCCAGAACGGCGTCAAGATGGCCATCGAGCCGCCCAAGGGCCTCAGGGCGAACCTCGTGGGGTCCTACAGCAACGCGCCGCTGAGCGGCGACGGCTACCTCGAGTCCTGCGGCAAGCCCGAGTCCTTCCGGAAGCTGTGCTACGCGCTCTGCATGTTCCACGCGCTCCTCCAGGAGCGGCGGCTCTACGGTCCCCTGGGCTGGAACATCCCCTACGGCTTCAACGAGTCGGATCTGCTCATCTCCATGCAGCAGCTCTTCTCCTTCCTCGACGAGAACGACGAGGTGCCCTTCAAGGCGCTCAAGTACTGCATCGGCGAGTGCAACTACGGCGGCCGCGTCACGGACGGCAAGGACCGGTCGACGCTCAACGCGATTTTGGACCGCTTCTTCAACAACTACGTGCTCACGACGGGCTTCCCCCTGTCCGACTCGGGGGTCTACGTGGTGCCCGAGGCGACGACGCAGGAGGAGTTCGTCGCGCTCATCGAAACGTTGCCGCTCGTCGCGGAGCCGGAGATCTTCGGCTTCCACGAGAACGCGAACATCACCAAGGACACGAAGGAGACGCAGTTCATGTTCACGACCGTGCTGCTCACGGAGGGCGGCGGCTCCGGCGGCGGCGGCGGCGGCAACGACGCGATGATCTCGACGACCGCGCACGACATCCTGGCGAAGCTGCCCGCGGCGTACGACATGGAGGGCGCGCAGGTGCGCTACCCGGTGCAGTGGGAGCAGTCCATGAACACGGTGCTCTGCCAGGAGCTCCGGCGGTTTAACAACTTGACGTCGGTGATGAAGCGGAGCCTCGTGGACGTGGACAAGGCCGTCAAGGGCGTCGTGGTCATGTCGGGGCCCTTGGAAAAGCTCGGCGAGTCGCTGGTCTACGGCACGATCCCGGCCATGTGGAAGGCCAAGTCCTACCCGTCCTTCAAGCCCCTCGCGGGCTACGTCCAGGACCTCCTCGCGCGGCTCGAGTTTTTGCGGCTGTGGCTCGACGACGAGCCGCCGCCGACGTACTGGATCTCCGCGTTCTTCTTCCAGCACGCGTTCATGACGGCGTCGAAGCAGAACTACTCGCGGGCCGAGACCATCCCCATCGACGCCATCTCCCTCCAGTTCGAGATGCTCCCGAACACGTCCTACGCGCGGCCGCCGAAGCTCGGCGTCTACGTCTACGGCTTCTTCTTCGAGGGCGCGCGCTGGGACAAGAAGGCGCACCGCATCGCCGAGTCGGAGCCCAAGGTGCTCTACACCGCGGCGCCCCTCATGCACTTCCTGCCCAAGCAGACGGTCCACATCCAGCACCCGCCGTCCTACCTGTGCCCCGTGTACAAGACGTCGGACCGCCGCGGCATCCTCGCGACGACGGGCCACTCGACGAACTTCATCCTCGACATCCTCGTGCCCTCGGACATCCCCCAGGCGCACTGGATCCAGCGCGGCGTCGCCATGCTCTCCCAGCTCGACGACTAGGGCGCGCGTAAGGGGGAGACCGGGATGTGTGTGGGCGACGCCGCATGGTTTTTAAACAGCAAGTTGAGGAGAGATTGAGGCTCACTTGTTATCGAGGCGGATGGGCAGCGCGACGACTGTCGCGCGCAGCTAAGTGAAACATGGACGCGGCGTCGATCGACGCCGACGCGATGCGCGTGATCCTTGCGCATTTCAACGTGGATGTAAACGACGAAGCAGGCCATGGACAGACGCTCCTACACACGTTCGCCCAACCTGGGAACACCTCCATGGTTGCGGCGCTACTCGCTGCGGGAAGCGTGGATCAAGCAGAAGACAGAGACGGTGACTTCGCTCTCCACTGTGCGGCTGAAGGGGGGCACGTCGAGGTCGCGCGCCTATTGGTCAACGCGGGCGGAGATTTAAACGTTTGTAACGGGCACGACAGCACGCCGCTCCACCGCGCGGCTTATGAAGGGCACGTGGAAGTGGCGCGTTTACTCATATCTGCTGGCGCAAATACCAGTAGCCAGGATGATTATGGTGATACGCCCCTCCATGATGCGGCTCGCCATAAGCACGGGGCGGGAATTGCACGTCTTTTGCTCGATGCAGGCTGCCAGGTCGACGTGGAAAGCGGAGACGAAGAGCAGCCGCTGCATATCGCAGCGCGGGTGAATGCCGATGAAACGATCAGATGCCTCCTTGCCTTTGGCGCCGACGCGAATGCCGCCAGTGGCTCTTACGGGACGCCGCTCCGCTTGGCTTTGGAGTACCATGGCGAACGTCGCACCGTTGCGGTGCTGCTCGAAGGTGGCGCGACTATTGACATGGAAGAGCTCAGCCTACTCCCACGCGAAAGGAGGCTGTCTGACGGCTGGCGCTACATCGAAAAAGTCAACGCCGCGGGCGGCTACGAGAACCTCGTGCGCACGTACCGCCGCGTGCTCACGGCGCCGCGCGGCTGCCTGACGCGGTACCTGCGGCAGCGCTTCGGCCGCGACGCGCCGCACGACGTCGCCGTGCACGTCCTGGAGTACTGGAAGCCGCCGGGAGGGCCGTAGCATGCGAACTCTGACCGGGGGCTTAAAGATTCCGGAGGTTACACACAGCCCCTAGATCGTCGCGCGCTTGTCCGGCTTGGGCCGCCCGCCGCCGAAGATATACTGGAGCGTCTTCCGCACGCGGCCGGGCTCGCGCGCGAACTTCTTCCAGCCGCCGGCCGCGCGCACGTCCGCGAGGAGGTTCGCGGCGTCCTCCTTGCCGTGCCGTCGCGCGGTCCACTCCGCGTCCTCGGGGTCGTCGTCGTCGCGCGCGTCCCGTCGCAGGTCGAGGTTCGCGCCGAGTTTCAACAGGCACCGGATGACCTCGAGGCGCCCCGCTCTGGCCGCCCACATCAACGCCGTCAGGCGGTCCTGGGCCTGCGCGTCGATGTCGGCCTTGCCCTCCTTGACGAGCACCTCGACGGCCTCGACGTGGCCCCGCGACGCCGCGGCGCTCAGGGGCAGCCAGCCGAAGCCGTCCTGGATGCCCGTCTTCGCGCCGTGGGCCAGCAGCACGCGGATGACGCCGACCTGGCCCGACCGCGCGGCGCCGACGAGCGCCATGTCGCCGTACTCGTCGGGGACGTTCGGATCGCCCGAGGTGATGGGCAAGCCCCGGCCGCGGCCCATACTGCGGTTCCTCCCGGCCCCCCTACGTTTAGAGACGCGTCAAGCCCATACTGGGCTGCCTCGACGTTTGAGGTCCTGCAACTTCTGGATGTGGTCAAAGATGAAGTGGTCGAAGCCGTCGCTGAATCAAAGTGGCACAAAAGGCTCTCCTCATGGAGGACTCGGACGATTCGAGCGCCCACGAGAGCGACTTCTCCGTCGAGAGCGATGATGACGACATCCCAACGGACCAGCCGCGATCGATAGAAGCCCTCGACGGCGGCGCCGTCGCGGCGCTCGCGGCGCTCGACGACGACGGCCTCGCCGAGCAGGTCTGGGACTGCTACGACGGCCTGGCCCTCGCGGCGAGCGGCGGCGGCGCGGCGGCGGCGGCCGTCGCGGCGCGGGTCCGCGGCGCGCTGTCGGCGCGCGAGCGCGTGCTCGTCGTGCGGACGGCCGTCGCGCGCTGCGACGACGGCGCATCGTGGCGGTGGCTCGCGGCGGAGGCGCGCGACGCGCTGGCGCGCGTCGCGCCGGAGCGCCTCGGGTCCGTCGCGCCGAGCTGCGCCGCCGCGCTCTGGCGGAGCGCCGTCGACGACTGGGTCGCCGTGCGCGAGCGCGAGCTCCGGGGGCGGCCCGGGGGCGGCCTCGGCCTCGAGCCCGCCGCCGCCGCGGACGCGATCCTCGCCGTCGCGGAGCTCGCGGCGTCGAACGAGGACCCGCGCTGCCGCGCCCTCGCCGTGCGGCTCGCGCTGCTCCTCGCGCGCTGGGACGGCCTGCCGGCGTCGCTGCCGCCGCGGCGCCTCGCGGCGCTCTGCGCGGCCGCGGGCTTCGACGTCGCCGCGGCCGTCGGCGCCGCGTGCGGCCGCCTGCGCGCGCGGCGCGTGCGGCGCGCGGCGCGCCAGCGGTCGGCCTTCCGGCGCCGGAAGCGGGCCCACGCCGAGCGCGCCGTCGCGCTCGGCGCGCGGCCCGAGGACGTCGGCGGCGGCGACGAGGGCTCGTCGAGCAGCGTCGACTCCGCGAGCAGCGGCAGCGACGATTCGGGCCGCGGCGACAGCGACAGCGACGCCGGCGACCGCGCCGTCGTCGACGGCGACCGGGTTTCGGCGCCGGCGACGGCCGCGGACCTCGGGTGCTCGCGCGACCGCGATTTGCGGTGGAGCGCGGCGGGCGCCGCGCGGCTCCTCGCGCGCCTCGACGCCGCGGGCGACCTGCCCAAGGTCTGGTCCCGCGCGGGCGAGTGGGCGGCCCTCGGGCCCGGCGCCGCGCGGCTCCTGTCGCGGTCCGCGTGCCGCGCGGGCGGCGCAGGCGCGCCCGCGGCGGGCGCGGCGCTCGCGCTGGCGCTGCTGCGGCGCGCGGGCCGGTGCGCCGTGGCGCGCGACGCGGCTCTGGAGCTCCGGTGCGGCCGGCGGCTCCTGCGGGTCGTCGCGGCCTGCGCGGACGAGGCCGCGCGGCGGGCCGCGCGGCCCGCGTTCCGCGCGCTCGTCGAGACGGCGGACGGCGGCGGCCGGCGCCGGCGGCTGCTCGGCGCGCCCTGCCCGGACGGCGCGCGGGGCTGCGTGCTCGACGCGCTCCGCCGCGAGGCCTGCCGCCGCGCGGCGGCCGGCGGCGACGCGGAGACGGACGGCGCCGTCGCGGAGGCGCTCCGCGGGGGGCTCGCCGCGCTCGACCGCGACGTCGGCCGCGGCTACGACGCGCTCCACGCGCGCCTCGACGCGCACCTCGGCTTCCTCGCGCTGGCGCGCGCCGTCGCCGCGGCGCCGGCGCTCCCGGCCGCGCGCGCGGCGCTCGCGGCGGGCTTCGGCGTGCTCGAGCCCGCGGCGACGACGCTGCGGAGCCGGCTCCGCCGGAGCGCCGCGGCGGCGCGCTCGGGCGACGACGCGGCGCCGGAGGCGACGGACGCCGCGCGCGAGACGCCCGCGCCAGGGCAGGACAAGAGAGCGAAATTCCCAACTTCAAAGGCTCCTTTCTCGGCCGTTTTCCACTCGTTTCGGCTGATTTTTGGACGAGCGATCATCTCTCGGAACGGTCTCGAAGCGTGAATGCTTTTCCCGGAACGCGCGCGCGCGGAACACTCACGTTGAAGCGACGTTGAATCTCTCTTGTCCTGCCCAGGCCCGCGCGGCCCGACGACGCGACGCCCGAGGGCCAGCGGTTCCTCCTCCACCTCCTCGCGGAGAACCTCGACTACGTCCTCGACGCGCTCGGCGGGACCACGTAACACGCCTCGACCTAGGCGACGGCCCCGAGACACGCCACACTCAATCTTAGGCGACGTCGCCGAGGCTGTCCCAGCGGCCGCCGGCCGCCTTCTCGAGCGTGACGACGACGACGGCGCCGTCGACGTACCACGTCGAGCAGTCGACGTCGATGGCGCCCGCGAGCGTCGTCACGTCGACGAGGGCCGCGGCGTCCGCCTTGGCCGCGACGCGGAGCGACGTGCGCTTGAGCGCGACGGCGAGGTCGCGCGCGGCCGTGCCCGGGGCCACGGGCACGCGGACCTCGACGTCGCCCTCGGTCTGCGTCCAGCTGTAGGTCGCCTCGGCGTGCTCCGCGTCCATCAGCGCCGCCTCCTCGGCGGCGGCGTCGACCTTCAACAAGTTGTTCTGCCCGCCGCCCGCGCCGAGCTTCTCGTACATGGCGCTGAGCGACGCCATGCCGCCGGGCGACTTGGAGGTCTTCGCGACTTGGGCCGCGCGCGCGACCCAGGCCGCGTCGCTGGAGCAGTCGCCCAGGGTCAGGTCCTGGCGGACCCAGGCGTCGTCGTCGTCGAAGTAGCGGCTCACGTAGCAGTCGCCGCGGAATTGCTGCGACTGCGCGCCGCACGCCGCGGCGAGGCCGATGGCCCGCTCGTTCAGCGGCAGCTGCTTCGCGTGCGACTTCTCGTCGCAGTAGAGGGACACGGCGACGGGCTCGGCCTTGGACGGCACCGTGAGCGCGTAGGTGTCGACGGACACGGCGCCCGCGAGCGACCGGAGCTGCGCCGCGTCGAGGCCGCCGCCGTCGGGCACCTTCTCCGCGATCGTCGCCTGGAGCCCGGCGACGTAGCTCTCCAGCTGCTCCGCGCTCAGCATGTTGTTCGCGAAGCGGTATTTCAGCACCTCGCGCAGGTCGTCGTCCTCGAGGCACGTATTGCGCGCGTGTTTCAGCTCCTCCATGGGCTTCGTGGCGTCGCAGGGGATGCGGATGTAGGCGAACTCGCCGCCGCTCTCGGCGCCCGGGGTGAGGGACGTGGTCACCATTGATGACATGGTTGCGTTGCGCGAAGGGCGGCGGACGGCAGCGCTGGCAGCCAAAAGGGCGATCGAGATCGATTGCTTCGGCTCCGCAGTCCGCACAGATTCGGGTCGGTCTTGCCGTGCAACACCCGTTCATCGTGGGCTGCCCGCTGCTGCGCGCGCGCTGCCCGCAGCCGCGCCGCGACGATGAAGAGCGAGCCCCAGCCGCCGCCGTCGGCGGCGAGCCAGGCCGTGGAGATCGCCTGCAAGAGCGGCGCGCCGGTGCAGACGCGGGCCGAGCGCCCCTGCCCCATCCACCAGGACGTCGTCTTCGCCGGCGGCGGGGGCGGCGACCGCCTCGACAGCATCGTCTTCCGTAACCACTACGTCGCCTCCATCTCGGTCTACCAGCGCCAGCTCGCCGCCGACGGGGCCGGCCCCAAGGCGCCGCGCTGGGTGCCCGTGCTCCGCGACGAGCGGCTGATGGCGCACCCGCACTTCGAGGACGACGCGCAGTCGCAGCGCACGCTCTACACGAGCCGCTTCCTGCCGGCCTTCGACGCGCGCCTCTGCGCCGGCGGCGGCGGCGAGGCCGACGACGGGCCGCCGCCGAGCGACGGCGCGCGCGAGCCCCCGGTGGGCTCGCTCCGCTTCAAGCTCCGCCAGCCGTCCATGATGTGGTCCAGCTGCATGGAGCTCCGCAACCTCCGCACCTACATGTACCAGAGCAAGGCGCCCCTCTCCCGATAAGACACCACGGGTGCGGGGTTTTGCGCGGCGGCACTCTCGTGCGGGAGGCAACTGCAGCCTGGGCACTGTGCTGGGCAAAATCTTGAAGTTGTCATATCCGAAAAATCGTTCCAAGTTGACCATTTCCGCTCTCGGGTAGGAACAGGTTGGGCAGCCCGGTGGTGCGATCCGTCGTGTCGCCCGGCGCCGTCCCATGGTCCTCCGAACCGTCGCCGCCGTCGCGGTCCTGGCCCGGGTCGCCGGCGCCGCCGAGTGCGACCCGTCGGTGTCCATCACCTTCACGACTTCCCAGCGCATCACGTCCAACGCCAACGGCGTCAAGGGCATCAGCGCCGTCGACCTCGACGAGGACGGCGACGTCGACTTCGTGACGGCGTCCTACAGCGGCGACGAGGTTCAGTGGCACAACAACGACGGGTCCTACGTCTTCTCGGACGTCATGGTGTCGAGCGACGAGGACGGGACGTACACCGCGGTGCCCGTGGACCTCGACGGCGACGGCGACCTCGACCTCGTCGCCACGGCCTACATGGACAACCGGCTCGCGTGGTTCGAGAACGACGGCTCCATGGGCTTCTCGCGCCACATCATCTCGAACTCGGAGACGTACTGCATCGGCGGCGTGGCCGCGGACGTCGACGGCGACGGCGACCTCGACGTCGTCAACGCGGGCGCGTCCGGCGGCGACTTCTTCCACTGGTGGGAGAACGACGGCTCCGAGGGCTTCTCCATGCACGTCATCCACTACGACAGCGGCATGGTCGGCTGGGACGTCGCCGCGGCGGACGTCGACGGCGACGGCGACGCGGACGTCGTCGGCTGCGCCTACACCGACAGCTACATCTCCTGGTACGAGAACACGGACGGCGCGGGCACCTTCGCCGAGCACGTCATCGTCTCGAGCGGCTTCGCCAACCCCAGCGCGGCCAACGCCGTCGACGTCGACGGCGACGGCCACGTCGACGTCGTCGCCCTCGCCTACGGCGACAGCAAGGTGTCCTGGTTCGACAACGGCGGGAGCCAGGCCTTCACGGAGCAGGTCATGGCGTCGCCGACCGGCCCCCGGGGGCTCTTCGCGGGCGACATGGACGGCGACGGCGACATGGACGCGCTCGTCATGGAGCGGACGTCGACGCAGGGCTTCCAGAAGTGGGTCGAGAACGCCGGCGGGACCTACACGCTCCACGACATCTACGAGTACACGGGCTTCGACTGCGGCGCGGGCACCATCGGCGCGGACGTCGACGCCGACGGCGACCTCGACGCGGTCAGCGGCCTCAGCTGCGGCGACTACGTCGATTGGCACTCGAACGAGTGCACGCACCTCCCCGAGGCGCCGACGCCCGCGCCGACGCCGTCCGGGCCCGCGCCGACGCCGCGACCGTCGCCCACGCCCACGCCCGCGCCGACGGTCGCGCCGACGCTCCCCGCGCCGACGGTCTCGCCGACGCCCCGGCCGACGACCGCGAGCTGCGACCACGTCATCCAATTCCAGAGCGAGCAGAGCGTCGTCAGCGGCCAGGGCCAGTGCCAGGGCATCTTCGCCGTCGACGCCGACGGCGACGGCGACTTGGACGTCTTCTCCGGCCAGACCTCGGCGAACAAGGTCCTCTTAAACGAGAACGACGGCGCGATGGGGTTCTCCGTCGCCGTCACGCTCGACACGGCGGTGAACGGGGCCTGGACTGTCACCGCCTACGACGTCGACGGCGACGGCGACGTCGACGCGCTCGCCGCGGCGAACACGGGGAACAAGGTCGCCTGGTACGAGAACGACGGGTCCCAGGCCTTCACGACGCACGTCCTGTCGACGGCCCTGACCCAAGCGGTCGACATCTTCGCCGTCGATCTCGACGGCGACGCCGACGTCGACATCGTCACCATGGGCTACGGCGCCAGCGGCAGCGGCAGCGGGAGCAAGATCCAGTGGTACGAGAACGACGGGTCCCTGGGCTTCACGGAGCACACTATCGCCGCCGACTCGTTCGGGGGCAGCGCGATCCACGTCTTCGACGTCGACGACGACGGATCGTTCGACGTCGTCCAGGCGTCGCTCGAGGACCACACGACCGCTTGGTACGTGAACGACGGCGCCGAGGCGTTCACGAAGCAGATCATCAACGTCTGCGCCGGGTCCTGCAAGACGCGCGACGCCTACGCCGTCGACTTCGACGGCGACGGCGACGTCGACGTGCTGACGGCGACGGGCCTCGACGACACGGTCGACTGGTACGAGAACGACGGGGCCGAGTCCTTCACGAAGCACACCCTGGTGGACAAGACGTCGTCGAGCGCCTACGCCATGAAGGCGCGTCCGGCGGACGTCGACGGCGACGGGGACCTCGACGTCCTCGTATCCTGGGCCCTCGGGGATTACGTCACGTGGCACGAGAACGACGGCTCGTTTGGCTTCACGGAGCACTACGTCGGCGCCATGGACTACGCCTCCTTCGTCGAGCCGGTCGACCTGGACCTCGACGGCGACGTCGATTTCCTCGCGTCGGGGAAGAACGCGCAAAAGGTCGTCTGGTACGAGCACGACTGCCTCGCGCCGAGCGCGACGCCAACGACCGCCGCGCCGTCGACGCTCGAGCCCACGCCGTCGCCGACGACGGCCGTACCGACGCCCGCGCCGACGCCGACGCCGACGCCGCTCCCGACGCCCGCGCCGACGACGGCCGCGCCGACGCCCGCGCCGACGCCGACCCCGACGCCGCTCCCGACGCCCCCGACGGCGAGCGCCCAGATGGACTGCACGGCCGACGCCGTCGCGCCGCCGCTCCAGCTGCTGCGGTGCAAGCGGACTTCGACGGACGACAGCTGCACGACCGCGACCAGTAGCACGTCGCCCGACGACGCCATGCTCCGCCTCACGGCGCTCGACATCGAGACCTCGGAGCACGTCAAGGTCTTCGACTACTACCCCGACGGGTTCACCAAGAGCGCGACGGGCTCGATCGTCGCGGGCACGCACGACACGAAGAACGTCAACGCCGTGGCGATGCTGGTCAACGGCACCAAGAGCTACATGCTCGCGGCCGTGGACGACCGCCTCTGCAACATGTCTCCCGAAAGCTGGGGCTACGACCCCGCCGCGGGCAAGACGACGGGCGAAGCGGCCGACGAGGACTCCGCCGAGGCCGCGAACTGCCTCACCGGGCTCGAGACCACGCAGATGCCCGCGTACACGGACTCCGTGTACAAGCCGACCGCCGCGGAAATCGTCGGCACGACGTACTACTACTCCGAAAAGGTCACCACCTACGTGAAGCGCGTGAAGCGCGTCGACTATCTCGTCGACGGCGACCCGGCGACGGCGCCCGACTTCGCGAGCACGCCCGAGGTCCGGATCAAGAGCGCCATCCTCGGAGTGATCTCCGACTTCACCCGGGTCGAGGAGAACGGCGTCGACGACTGGATCATCGACGGCGATGCGAACGGCGTCTACCTGGTCGGCTTGAATGTCGTGGACGGCGAGGCTCGCGTCTTCGTCGGCAAGATCAACAGCGCGACCGAGGAGCTCGGCAGCTACGCCATCGCGCTCATCCCGGAGGCGCGCGTCTTCACGAAGGACTGCGTAGAGTCCGGAATCGCCGAGTGCGACCAACCGATGACCGGGAGCCAGTACTTTGGCGGCGCGTACGCGTACCAAAAGGTCGACGAGAAGCCCCGGCTCTTCTTCTCCGCCAACTACAACAACAACGGCATCGTGGAACTGCTGCTCCCCTTCACCGTCGCCGATACGACGTCGGGCGACAAGTTCAACACGGGCACGGCGCAGTCGGGCCACGAGACCGCGGAGTCGCCCGACGCGCAGCTCGTCTGGCGGGCCGACTCCGCGTCGACGGACTTCAACGACGGCACGTCCTGCTCGCCGTTCTCGGCCTCGTGGCCCGACCTGCTGATGCCGCCGACGGCCGCGCCGACGTCGGCGCCGACGGCCGCGCCCACGGCCGCGCCCACGGCCGCGCCTTCGGCCGCGCCTTCAGCGGCTCCCTCCGCGTCGCCTTCAGTCGGCGCCCACGGCCGCGCCGTCGTCGGCGCCGTCATCGGGTCCCTCCGCGTCGCCTTCGTCGGCGCCGTCGTCGGCGCCGTCGTCGGCGCCTTCAGCGGCTCCGTCGCCGTCGCCAAGCGCTTCCCCGTCCTCTTCGCCGACCCCCGCGCCGACGACGCCCGAGCCGTCGCCCGCGCCGTCGCCCGCGCCGACGCCCCGGCCGACGACGCGCTGCGACTACGTCGTGACCTTCGCCTCGGCGCAGAGCGTCGTCAGCGGCCAGGGCCAGTGCCAGGGCATCTTCGCCGTCGACGCCGACGGCGACGGCGACTTGGACGTCTTCTCCGGCCAGGCCTCGGCGAACAAGGTCCTCCTAAACGAGAACGACGGCGCCATGGGGTTCTCCGTCGCCGCCACGCTCGACACGGCGGCGACCGGGGCCTGGACCGTCACCGCCTACGACGTCGACGGCGACGGCGACGTCGACGCGCTCGCCGCGGCGAACACGGCGAACAAGGTCGCCTGGTACGAGAACGACGGGTCCCAGGCCTTCACGGCGCACGTCCTGTCGACGGCCCTGACCCAAGCGGTCGACATCTTCGCCGTCGATCTCGACGGCGACGCCGACGTCGACATCGTCACCATGGGCTACGGCGCCTACGGCAGCGGCAGCGGCAGCTCGATCGAGTGGTACGAGAACGACGGGTCGCTGGGCTTCACGGAGCACACCGTCGCCGCCGACTCGCTCGGGGGCAGCGCGATCCACGTCTTCGACGTCGACGACGACGGGGACTTTGACGTCGTCCAGGCATCGCTCGAGGACCACACGACCGCTTGGTACGTGAACGACGGCGCCGAGGCGTTCACGAAGCAGATCATCAACGTCTGCTCCGGGTCCTGCAAGACGCGCGACGCCCACGCCGTCGACTTCGACGGCGACGGCGACGTCGACGTGCTGACGGCGACGGGCCTCGACGACACGGTCGACTGGTACGAGAACGACGGGGCCGAGTCCTTCACCAAGCACACCCTGTCGGACAAGTCGTCGTCGAGCGCCTACGCCATGAAGGCGCGTCCGGCGGACGTCGACGGCGACGGTGACCTCGACGTCGTCGCGGCCTGGGCCCTCGGCGACGACGTCACGTGGCACGAGAACGACGGCTCGATGGGTTTCACGGATCACGACGTCGGCGTCCTGGACTACGCGTTCTTCGTCGAGGGCGTCGACCTGGACCTCGACGGCGACGTGGACATTCTCGCTTCGGGGCAATTAGCCGAGGAAGTCGCCTGGTACGAGCACGACTGCCTCGCGCCGAGCCCCGCGCCGACGCCCGCGCCGACGACGCCCGCGCCGACGCTCGCGCCGACGACGTCCGAACCGAGCCTCGCCCCGACGGGCTGCTTCCTGAGCGTCACCGGCATCGGCTCGTCGATGACGTGCGTCTCGGGCGTCGACTGCACGCTGGCCTGGGACTACCAAGGCGACGGCTCGTCGTGCGCGTCGGTGATCACGACCGTCACGAACGCCGACGACGGCAGCGTCATCAACAGCGCGACGCTCGATAACGACGGCTCGCACACGGTCACGATCCCCGGGAGCGCGGCGATCAGCTCGTACGGATTCGCGATCGAATGCGCGGACGCTACGTGCGCTTCGGACAGCGCGACCTTCGCCGTCTCGTACACGTCTCCACCGAGCCGCCAGCCGACGACGAGTTCGCCGACGACGGCCGCGCCGACGACGGCCGCGCCGTCGGCCGCGCCCGCGCCCGCGCCGACCGGGCTCCCGTCGCCCGCGCCCACGGCCAAGCCCACGCCCCGGCCGACGACGCGCTGCGACCACGTCGTGACCTTCGCGTCCGCGCAGACCGTCGTCGACGGCGAGGGCGAGTGCACGGGCATCTTCGCCGTCGACGTCGACGGCGACGGCGACCTCGACGTCTTCACGGGTCACCGCGAGGGCGGGAACCAGGTCCTCCTGAACGAGAACGACGGCGCCATGGCCTTCTCCGTCGCCGCCGTCGTCGACGCGGCGGCGACGACGGTGTGGACCGTCGGCGCCTACGACGTCGACGGCGACGGCGACGTCGACGCGCTCGCGGCCTCGCGGGAGGAGGACGCCGTCTCCTGGTACGCGAACGACGGCTCCCTGGGATTCACGCAGCACGTCCTGACGACGGCCCTCGTCCACGCCAACGACATCTTCGCCGTCGATCTGGACGGCGACGCCGACGTCGATTTCGTCGCCATGGGCTACGGCGCCTACGGCAGCGGCAGCGGCAGCTCGATCGAGTGGTACGAGAACGACGGGTCCCAGGGCTTCACGCAACACACCGTCGCCAGCGACTCGTCCGGGGGCAGCGCGATCCACGTCTTCGACGTCGACGACGACGGGGACTTCGACGTCGTCCAGGCATCGCTCGAGGACCACACGACCGCCTGGTACGTAAACGACGGCGCCGAGGCGTTCACGAAGCAGATCATCAACGTCTGCTCCGGGTCCTGCAAGACGCGCGACGCCTACGCCGTCGACTTCGACGGCGACGGCGACGTCGACGTGCTGACGGCGACGGGCCTCGACGACACGGTCGACTGGTACGAGAACGACGGGGCCGAATCCTTCGCGAAGCGCACGATCGCGACCTCGACGGGCAGCTATGGCATCCGGGCGCGTCCGACGGACGTCGACGGCGACGGCGACCTCGACGTCGTCGCGGCCTGGGCCCTCGGCGACGACGTCACGTGGCACGAGAACGACGGCTCGATGGCCTTCGCGGATCACGACGTCGGCGTCCTGGACTACGCGTTTTGGGTTGAGGGCGTCGACCTGGACCTCGACGGCGACGTGGACATTCTCGCGTCGGCGAGGGCCGCGGAGAAGGTCGCCTGGTACGAGCACGACTGCCACGCGCCGAGCCCCGCGCCGACGCCCGCGCCGACGACGCCCGCGCCGACGCCCGCGCCGACGCCCGCGCCCGTCGTCAACACGACGCCCGAACCGAGCCTCGCGCCGACGACGCCCGCGCCGACGCTCGCGCCGACGACGTCCGAACCGAGCCTCGCCCCGACGGGCTGCTTTTGCCTCATCACCAGCATCGGCTCGTCGATGACGTGCGTCGCGGGCGTCGAGTGCACGCTGACATGGGACTACCGAGGCGACAGCTCGTCGTGCGCGTCGGTGATCACGACCGTCACGAACGCCGACGACGGCAGCGTCATCAATAGCAATACGCTCGAGAACGACGGCTCGCACACGATCACGGTCCCGGGAAGCGCGGCGATCAGCTCGTACGGACTCGCGATCGAATGCGCGGACGCTGCCTGCGCCTCGGACAGCGCGACCTTCGCCGTCTCGTACACGTCTCCGCCGAGCGTCGAGCCGACGACGATTTCGCCGACGACGTCCCTGCCGACCTATCAGCCGAGCGCCACGCCGTCCGTCGAGCCGAGCCCCAAGCCGACGCCCGCTCCGGTCCCGCGCCCGACGCCGTCTCCGACGCCCGAGCCGTCGCCCGAGCCGTCTCCGGAGCCGTCGCCCGAGCCCACGCCGAAGCCGTCCGTGGAGCCGAGCCTCCGTCCGACGCCCCGACCCTCCGTGGAGCCGAGCCCCGCGCCGACGCCCGCGCCGTCGACGGCGCCGACGGGCTGCTTCGTCGCCATCGTCGACGTCGGCACGCTCCTCACGTGCGTCGCGGAGACGGAGTGCGTGCTCTCGTGGGAGTACCGCGGCGACGCGGCGACCTGCGCGGACGTGACGGTGTCCGTCGCGACATCCGACGGCACCGTCGTCGGCGGCGCGACGACGCCCAACGACGAGTCGCACTCCGTCGTCGTCTCCGCGGACGCGGAGGTGAACACCTACACGATGACGCTCGCCTGCGCCGACGGGACCTGCGCGTCGGACTCGACGGCCTTCGAGGTGTCCTACAGCCCGCACCCGACGACGAAGCCGACGACGGCGGCGCCGTCGCCCGCGCCGACGCCCGCGCCGACGCTCGCGCCCTCGACGGCGTCGCCGAGCGCGGAGCCGACGCCGCTCTTCGTGTCCGCGCCGCCCAGCGTGCCCCCGACGACGGCGTCGCCGAGCGCCGAACCGTCGCCGCAGCCGTCGCCCGCGCCGACGCCGCGGCCGTCCGCGGCTCCGAGCCCCGCGCCGACGCCCGCGCCCACGCCCCGCCCGAGCCCCGCGCCGATCCCCGCGCCCACCCCCCGCCCGTCGCCCGCGCCGAC